GAGTTCCACGAAACAGCTGTGATATTGCTTACACAGGTGTTACACTGCAGACTATGAGTTCCATGAAACAGCTGTGATAGTGCTGACACAGGTGCTACACTGCAGACTTTGAGTTCCATGAAACAGCTGTGATATTGCTGACACAGGTGTTGCACTGCAGACTATGAGTTCGACTGAAACAGCTGTGATATTGCTGGAAAAAGAGTTTTGCTGACACAGATGTGACATTGCTGTAACATGGATGCTGACCAAGAGAAAGATGTGACACTGCAGACAGTTTCAACATCAAATATGTAACATCGATGACAAGGAGTTTCATTGCAACATATGATTCACTCATTCAGTTGTTACACTGGTGACAATGGGTTTCTCCGACAAATATGTGAAACTGCTGATGAGGAGTTTCACTGACACAGATGTGACTGCTGACAAAGAGTTTCACTGACACAGATGTGACTGTTGACAAAGAGTTCCACTGACACAGATGTGACTGCTAACAAAGGCTACATTCACGTATCCCAGTTAAACCCGTTAAGGGGTCACAGAAATATCCCCCGATAAAAGAGCGCACATGGACCGAACTACAGGCAGAACTAAACAAGAGTACCGCGGGGCGGAACAATATACACCCGTCGAATACCATAGAGTGTTATATACTTTCTTACATAGTAATAAGATCTGCATCATTCAAAGAGTGGTTAGCTAACATGCTATAAAAACGTAGGAGATAATCTCTGGATAAAAAAATCAAATACTGAAATGAACAAAGGGCAATTACTTTTGTCGTCGAATCAAAATTCTTTTCAAGGAAACACAAAAACATATCATGATTATTTAGCCTAATAAGTTTCAAAGAAATCTGTCAAAAAATGTAGGAGGAGATCTTCGGACAAAATAATCAAATACTGAAATGAACAAAGGGCAATAACTTTTGGAAAAATTGTCAAATCAAAATTCTTTTAAGGGAGACACAACTTCATATCATGATTATAATGTATATCAAGTTTCAAATTGATTGGTTGAAATATGTAGGAGAAGATTGGCAGACAAACAAAAGTTTACGCCGGACAGACGGACGGACAATGCCATACGATAATAATCCCGTCAAATTTGACGGGCGTATAAAAATGCACAGTTTCGGAGAATGAATAACAATGTATCAAGAAGAATATTAAGCCCTTCTTTTACGCGTCCACTAAATTATATATCTTAAAATCTGCATCTGTATTGACATTATTTTATAAAGAAATAACGCAAACTCGCAATAGTTAGCAATTTAGTTTAATTGACTGATGAAGAGGATACACCAGTAACACATATTGTGATTTATCACAACTTACTTACAAGCCGCATTACGACATATCATTACATGAATCATGCTCCAGGTTAGTGACCGGTGACGCCATGCTGGTACCAATATGGCAGGGATCCCACACTTCATAGTTATATAATATAAGGTAATTGTTAGATGTAGCTGGTAAGACATATACCACATACATAGTATAATGCTCTGTTACATAGAAATGCCAGGTCAACAAACAGTTTATCCCTCTTGTAAGTGTTAATATGGTAAGTTATGGAGCATGAACACCACTGATCCTGTTACAATGTCTATATACATGTGTCAGTAAGTAAGGGAGCATGAACACCACTGATCCTGTTACAATGTCTATATACATGTGTCAGTAAGTAAGGGAGCATGAACACCACTGATCCTGTTACAATGTCTATATACATGTGTCAGTAAGTAAGGGAGCATGAACACCACTGATCCTGTTACAATGTCTATATACATGTGTCAGTAAGTAAGGGAGCATGGACACCACTGATCCTGTTACAATGTCTATATACATGTGTCAGTAAGTAAGGGAGCATGAACACCACTGATCCTGTTACAATGTCTATATACATGTGTCAGTAAGTAAGGGAGCATGAACACCACTGATCCTGTTACAATGTCTATATACATGTGTCAGTAAGTAAGGGAGCATGAACACCACTGATCCTGTTACAATGTCTATATACATGTGTCAGTAAGTAAGGGAGCATGGACACCACTGATCCTGTTACAATGTCTATATACATGTGTCAGTAAGTAAGGGAGCATGAACACCACTGATCCTGTTACAATGTCTATATACATGTGTCAGTAAGTAAGGGAGCATGAACACCACTGATCCTGTTACAATGTCTATATACATGTGTCAGTAAGTAAGGGAGCATGAACACCACTGATCCTGTTACAATGTCTATATACATGTGTCAGTAAGTAAGGGAGCATGGACACCACTGATCCTGTTACAATGTCTATATACATGTGTCAGTAAGTAAGGGAGCATGAACACCACTGATCCTGTTACAATGTCTATATACATGTGTCAGTAAGTAAGGGAGCATGAACACCACTGATCCTGTTACAATGTCTATATACATGTGTCAGTAAGTAAGGGAGCATGAACACCACTGATCCTGTTACAATGTCTATATACATGTGTCAGTAAGTAAGGGAGCATGGACACCACTGATCCTGTTACAATGTCTATATACATGTGTCAGTAAGTAAGGGAGCATGAACACCACTGATCCTGTTACAATGTCTATATACATGTGTCAGTAAGTAAGGGAGCATGAACACCACTGATCCTGTTACAATGTCTATATACATGTGTCAGTAAGTAAGGGAGCATGAACACCACTGATCCTGTTACAATGTCTATATACATGTGTCAGTAAGTAAGGGAGCATGGACACCACTGATCCTGTTACAATGTCTATATACATGTGTCAGTAAGTAAGGGAGCATGAACACCACTGATCCTGTTACAATGTCTATATACATGTGTCAGTAAGTAAGGGAGCATGAACACCACTGATCCTGTTACAATGTCTATATACATGTGTCAGTAAGTAAGGGAGCATGAACACCACTGATCCTGTTACAATGTCTATATACATGTGTCAGTAAGTAAGGGAGCATGAACACCACTGATCCTGTTACAATGTCTATATACATGTGTCAGTAAGTAAGGGAGCATGGACACCACTGATCCTGTTACAATGTCTATATACATGTGTCAGTAAGTTAGGGAGCATGAACACCACTGATCCTGTTACAATGTCTATATACATGTGTCAGTAAGTAAGGGAGCATGGACACCACTGATCCTGTTACAATGTCTATATACATGTGTCAGTAAGTTAGGCCAGTGTTTGTCGGAGTATTTAAATTGTGTAACTACAGATTAGAATGGTAGACCACTTTCAGTTAAGACAGCGTATCTACAGCTACCAATAGCCACAAGTCAGAACCAACATGTCTGAACTTAAAGGTCTGTACCCAGCCTGAACCCGCTGATCTGATTCCACATGCACATGTCTGAACCCACAGGTCTTAACCCAAAGGTCTGAACTCACAGTCTTAACCCACAGGTCTTAACACAAAGGTCTGAACTCACAGTCTTAACCCACAGGTCTGTACTCAGCCTGAACCCGCTGATCTGGTTCCACATGCACATGTCTGAGCCCACAGGTCTTAACACAAAGGTCTGAACTCACAGTCTTAACCCAGAGGTCTTAACCCACAGGTCTGAACTCACAGTCTGAACCCACAGGTATTAACCCACAGGTCTGTACTCACAGGTCTTAACCCATAGGTCTTAACACAAAGGTCTGAACTCACAGTCTTAACCTACAGGTCTTAACACAAAGGTCTGAACTCACAGTATGAACCCAGAGGTCTTAACCCACAGGTCTCAACTCACAGTCTGAACCCACAGGTCTTAACCCACAGGTCTGTACTCAGCCTGAACCCGCTGATCTGATTCCACATGCACATGTCTGAACTCACAGGTCTGAGCCCACAGGTCTTAACACAAAGGTCTCAACTCACAGTCTTAACCCACAGGTCGTAACCCACAGGTCTGTACTCAGCCTGAACCCGCTGATATGATTCCACATGCAAATGTCTGAACTCACAGGTCTGACCCCACAGGTCTTAACACAAAGGTCTGAACTTACAGGCCTTAACACAAAGGTCTGAACTTACAGGCCTTAACACAAAGGTCTGAACTCACAGCATTAACCCACAGGTCTTAACACAAAGGGCTGAACTCACAGTCTTAACCCACAGGCCTTAACACAAAGGTCTGAACTCACAGTCTTAACCCAGAGGTCTTAACACAAAGGTCTGAACTCACAGCCTTAACCCACAGGACTTAACACAAAGGTCTGAACTCACAGTCTTAACCCAGAGGTCTTAACACAAAGGTCTGAACTCAAAGTCTTAACCCACAGGTCTTAACACAAAGGTCTGAACTTACAGGTCTTAACACAAAGGTCTGAACTCACAGTCTGAACCCAGAGGTCAGATCAGCTCCAGTACGGTGTCAATCCCAAAACACATGCATTGTATGCAAACTATGTTAAGGTCACAAAACTGGGTCGAGTTAATAAGTGGAATATTTGATTTATACAATGGAATAATTTTATCACTTATCTGATCAAGTGATTGATGAGAAGACAGTATTTATATAATTTTCTTTATACTACATCCGATAACTTCAAACAATGTCTATCTGCACAATATCCAGTTATTTTATACAAAGCTCATTAGTTCTAAAACAAACATAACTATCTACATACAAAAGTTTTCACAATCCACAAATACTAAAGAGATTTCTATCGACACACAAACTACATATTTATCCACATACAAAAGTATCCACCATCCACTTATACAGCAGATGTCTGCAGTGCAGGCCTACCCAATACCAACGTGTGTGAACTCCCAGGCAGGCCTACCCAATACCAACGTGTGTGAACTCCCAGGGATTAGGGATAAGCTTGTGTAATTTATACGCTGGCTGTTTTATTAACTTCTCAAACATGATGTATCAAGATCCTTCAGTAGACAAACAGAACAAACAGAAGCTGGGGAACAGGAGTACAGGGTTACTATATATACTGTGTACAACATAGGACATGCAAAATGGCTGACTTACAGAATGAACGGCGCTAGACATAACAGGTGCCGCCTGTGGAACAGATACCAGGTCAATAACAAAATGTGAGGTCAATGACAAGCTTCATCAACCCAGTAAAGTGACGGAAACAAAATGTGTGTAAAAATATAAGTTTAATAACAAATCATGACTACAACAGTTGTGATCCTAAAATCCCCAGGTATGTTTATCATTACGTAAGCTCCAGACCATATCTTAGAGACAAAGGGGGACGTACTGTCCAGGTAATTATTCATAATCAATCAGATCAAAACTATAGATTAAAGGTTGATTATAAATGACATAAGTTACAAGTGAATGATGTACATATCAAAGTTTAAAACTGGACAGTTGATCTCACTATTTTGTTGATTCCAACAGAGGTTCTTATGAAAGTCTTACAAGGTTAAGCATTTATAAGGTTATAACGGAATTATTTCTGTGAAATTTGAAGCAATTTTAAGCCAAAAGAATTTTACATACATGTCATGACATATTTGCCAATCAGAATAGCTTGGCGACCTTCTTGGATTTTTTTATCTGGTCATTTTGAATTATGTAAAACAAACAATTGGATTTATAACTCATCAGGTCTCAGCCAATCAGAGTAATTGATGGTCATCTTGAATTATTTCTTTGCTTCAAAAACTATGATGTTTACCTAGGGTCATGAGAGGAACATATTCATGAAATCCGAACCAAATTACCGGTACAATGAAATTAGATAGAAGTTAGAATATACAATAATAGAATAGGAAACTGACTTAAGTATTCACACCCTTCTGGAAGGTATTGGTAATAAATTTTAAGTTATTTTACCTTTTCTTTGATGCCAGCCCAAATGTCTTTTCCACCTTTTTGAAACTTATTGCCCTGTTTCTGGAAATAGAATTTGAAATCTTCATGATTTTAAGAAAATCTAGTCATATAGCTAATAATGTTTGATCACTTTGTAAGAGACATGTTAGTGAGCCAGTGTTTATAACAGGACTGAGTATTATTTGTCTGACATTACCTTCATATTAGTGAGCCACTCTTTATAACAGGACTGAGTATTGTTTGTCTGACATTACCTTCATATTAGTGAGCCACTCTTTATAACAGGACTGAGTATTGTTTGTCTGACATTACCTTCATATTAGTGAGCCACTCTTTATAACAGGACTGAGTATTGTTTGTCTGACATTACCTTCATATTAGAAAGCCACTCTTTATAACAGGACTGAGTATTGTTTGTCTGGCATTACCTTCATATTAGTGAGCCACTCTTTATAACGGGACTGAGTATTGAGTTTGTCAGCATTTTGCAGAGCCTCAGCTTCAAAAATATCACTGAAGCCCTGGCCACAGTTGAGCATGTCCAGACGTTCGTTGATAAACTATAAAATAAATGTTAAATATCCTTAAACAAATCTTTCCTCCAATATAACAAAAGTATCTTCCCTTTTATATAACATACAAATCTGGTCTCCTACATAACATGATACATGTATCTGCCCTCCTATAAAACCATAAACAAGTAGTTTGCCCTCCAATATAAGAAACAAATCTGGTCTCCTACATAACATGATACATGTATCTGCCATCCTATAAAACCATAAACAAGAAGTTTGCCCTCCAATATAACATACAAATCTGGTCTCCTACATAACATGATACATGTATCTGACCTCCTATAAAACCATAAACAAGTATTTTGCCCTCCAATATAAGAAACAAATCTGGTCACCTACATAACATGATACATGTATCTGCCCTCCTATAAAACCATAAACAAGTAGTTTGCCCTCCAATATAAGAAACAAATCTGGTCACCTACATAACATGATACATGTATCTGCCCTCCTATAAAACCATAAACAAGTAGTTTGCCCTCCAATATAAGAAACAAATCTGCTCTCCTACATAACATGATACATGTATCTGCCCTCCTATAAAACCATAAACAAGTAGTTTGCCCTCCAATATAAGAAACAAATCTGCTCTCCTACATAACATGATACATGTATCTGCCCTCCTATAAAACCATAAACAAGTAGTTTGCCCTCCAATATAAGAAACAAATCTGCTCTCCTACATAACATGATACATGTATCTGCCCTCCTATAAAACCATAAACAAGTAGTTTGCCCTCCAATATAAGAAACAAATCTGCTCTCCTACATAACATGATACATGTATCTGCCCTCCTATAAAACCATAAACAAGTAGTTTGCCCTCCAATATAAGAAACAAATCTGCTCTCCTACATAACATGATACATGTATCTGCCCTCCTATAAAACCATAAACAAGTAGTTTGCCCTCCAATATAAGAAACAAATCTGCTCTCCTACATAACATGATACATGTATCTGCCCTCCTATAAAACCATAAACAAGTAGTTTGCCCTCCAATATAAGAAACAAATCTGCTCTCCTACATAACATGATACATGTATCTGCCCTCCTATAAAACCATAAACAAGTAGTTTGCCCTCCAATATAAGAAACAAATCTGCTCTCCTACATAACATGATACATGTATCTGCCCTCCTATAAAACCATAAACAAGTAGTTTGCCCTCCAATATAAGAAACAAATCTGCTCTCCTACATAACATGATACATGTATCTGCCCTCCTATAAAACCATAAACAAGTAGTTTGCCCTCCAATATAAGAAACAAATCTGCTCTCCTACATAACATGATACATGTATCTGCCCTCCTATAAAACCATAAACAAGTAGTTTGCCCTCCAATATAAGAAACAAATCTGCTCTCCTACATAACATGATACATGTATCTGCCCTCCTATAAAACCATAAACAAGTAGTTTGCCCTCCAATATAAGAAACAAATCTGCTCTCCTACATAACATGATACATGTATCTGCCCTCCTATAAAACCATAAACAAGTAGTTTGCCCTCCAATATAAGAAACAAATCTGCTCTCCTACATAACATGATACATGTATCTGCCCTCCTATAAAACCATAAACAAGTAGTTTGCCCTCCAATATAAGAAACAAATCTGCTCTCCTACATAACATGATACATGTATCTGCCCTCCTATAAAACCATAAACAAGTAGTTTGCCCTCCAATATAAGAAACAAATCTGCTCTCCTACATAACATGATACATGTATCTGCCCTCCTATAAAACCATAAACAAGTAGTTTGCCCTCCAATATAAGAAACAAATCTGCTCTCCTACATAACATGATACATGTATCTGCCCTCCTATAAAACCATAAACAAGTAGTTTGCCCTCCAATATAAGAAACAAATCTGCTCTCCTACATAACATGATACATGTATCTGCCCTCCTATAAAACCATAAACAAGTAGTTTGCCCTCCAATATAAGAAACAAATCTGCTCTCCTACATAACATGATACATGTATCTGCCCTCCTATAAAACCATAAACAAGTAGTTTGCCCTCCAATATAAGAAACAAATCTGCTCTCCTACATAACATGATACATGTATCTGCCCTCCTATAAAACCATAAACAAGTAGTTTGCCCTCCAATATAAGAAACAAATCTGCTCTCCTACATACCATGATACATGTATCTGCCCTCCTATAAAACCATAAACAAGTAGTTTGCCCTCCAATATAAGAAACAAATCTGCTCTTCTACATACCATGATACATGTATCTGCCCTCTTACATTTTACAGAAACAAATAAATTTATGAACTGTTTTGTCAGACCAGAAGTTCCAGCTTGATCACAGATGTCAGTGCCATCCCATATGATACTTTATGTTAAATGCAACAGATGAAGAGCCAGGCCAAGTCATTTGTACTGAATCAAAAGTAAGATTGTAAATTGTGATAACTTCTTAATGTCAAGTTTTGCTTAATATTATGTTCTTCTAAAACTTTTCTGTGTGGTGATAATCAGTGGACAAATTACCTGTTGGAAAATTTGAAGTTGAAGCATATTCTCTAGGAATGGCTGCATGGATTGAGGTCGTGACAGTACAAATGCTTCCGGGTCAAAGGTTATAGGTTCTCCTGGTTTAAATCGTAATGCATCTCTGTACCCACCTGTCAACACAACCAATTCACGATAGTTAGGACATTCAAAGAAAATAAAAGGACCAATTTGCAACAGTTAGAATAATTTGGAAGACTTTCAAACTGCAACCAAAATACATCATCAATGATTTCTTTTTTTATCCTTCAATTAATGGAACTATAAACTGTTAAACCTACCTATCAGTCGGACTAGAGCCATAAGGAATGCTTTGGGAATGGCATCCCCAGATGTCTGCATGGATACCCTCACTTTATCTCCCTTCAGATGGCGCTTCAGGTAAGAGGACTACAATGTAAAGGTACTTGTTTTAGTCAAACATCAACGTCACAGGAGAACAGTTATCAGTCTTTTATAAAATCCTATATCACTCTAACTCAGGTTATATTGCAGTAGATTATACAAGTCATCGTTCTCATACTGTATTAAAGGTATTGTTGTGTATACCTACTATAACAGTTACTATAGACCATACTCACTATATCAGAGGGGAGATCCTCCAAGTCTTCATACTCAGATTGTAAGGTATTGTTGTGTATACCTACTATAACAGTTACTATAGACCATACTCACTATATCAGAGGGGAGATCCTCCAAGTCTTCATACTCAGATTGTAAGGTATTGTTGTGTATACCTACTATAACAGTTACTATAGACCATACTCACTATATCAGAGGGGAGATCCTCCAAGTCTTCATACTCAGATTGTACAGTATTGTTGTGTATACCTACTATAACAGTTACTATAGACCATACTCACTATATCAGAGGGGAGATCCTCCAAGTCTTCATACTCAGATTGTAAGGTATTGTTGTGTATACCTACTATAACAGTTACTATAGACCATACTCACTATATCAGAGGGGAGATCCTCCAAGTCTTCATACTCAGATTGTAAGGTATTGTTGTGTATACCTACTATAACAGTTACTATAGACCATACTCACTATATCAGAGGGGAGATCCTCCAAGTCTTCATACTCAGATTGTAAGGTATTGTTGTGTATACCTACTATAACAGTTACTATAGACCATACTCACTATATCAGAGGGGAGATCCTCCAAGTCTTCATACTCAGATTGTAAGGTATTGTTGTGTATACCTACTATAACAGTTACTATAGACCATACTCACTATATCAGAGGGGAGATCCTCCAAGTCTTCATACTCAGATTGTAAGGTATTGTTGTGTATACCTACTATAACAGTTACTATAGACCATACTCACTATATCAGAGGGGAGATCCTCCAAGTCTTCATACTCAGATTGTACAGTATTGTTGTGTATACCTACTATAACAGTTACTATAGACCATACTCACTATATCAGAGGGGAGATCCTCCAAGTCTTCATACTCAGATTGTAAGGTATTGTTGTGTATACCTACTATAACAGTTACTATAGACCATACTCACTATATCAGAGGGGAGATCCTCCAAGTCTTCATACTCAGATTGTAAGGTATTGTTGTGTATACCTACTATAACAGTTACTATAGACCATACTCACTATATCAGAGGGGAGATCCTCCAAGTCTTCATACTCAGATTGTAAGGTATTGTTGTGTATACCTACTATAACAGTTACTATAGACCATACTCACTATATCAGAGGGGAGATCCTCCAAGTCTTCATACTCAGATTGTAAGGTATTGTTGTGTATACCTACTATAACAGTTACTATAGACCATACTCACTATATCAGAGGGGAGATCCTCCAAGTCTTCATACTCAGATTGTAAGGTATTGTTGTGTATACCTACTATAACAGTTACTATAGACCATACTCACTATATCAGAGGGGAGATCCTCCAAGTCTTCATACTCAGATTGTACAGTATTGTTGTGTATACCTACTATAACAGTTACTATAGACCATACTCACTATATCAGAGGGGAGATCCTCCAAGTCTTCATACTCAGATTGTAAGGTATTGTTGTGTATACCTACTATAACAGTTACTATAGACCATACTCACTATATCAGAGGGGAGATCCTCCAAGTCTTCATACTCAGATTGTAAGGTATTGTTGTGTATACCTACTATAACAGTTACTATAGACCATACTCACTATATCAGAGGGGAGATCCTCCAAGTCTTCATACTCAGATTGTAAGGTATTGTTGTGTATACCTACTATAACAGTTACTATAGACCATACTCACTATATCAGAGGGGAGATCCTCCAAGTCTTCATACTCAGATTGTAAGGTATTGTTGTGTATACCTACTATAACAGTTACTATAGACCATACTCACTATATCAGAGGGGAGATCCTCCAAGTCTTCATACTCAGATTGTAAGGTATTGTTGTGTATACCTACTATAACAGTTACTATAGACCATACTCACTATATCAGAGGGGAGATCCTCCAAGTCTTCATACTCAGATTGTACAGTATTGTTGTGTATACCTACTATAACAGTTACTATAGACCATACTCACTATATCAGAGGGGAGATCCTCCAAGTCTTCATACTCAGATTGTAAGGTATTGTTGTGTATACCTACTATAACAGTTACTATAGACCATACTCACTATATCAGAGGGGAGATCCTCCAAGTCTTCATACTCAGATTGTAAGGTATTGTTGTGTATACCTACTATAACAGTTACTATAGACCATACTCACTATATCAGAGGGGAGATCCTCCAAGTCTTCATACTCAGATTGTAAGGTATTGTTGTGTATACCTACTATAACAGTTACTATAGACCATACTCACTATATCAGAGGGGAGATCCTCCAAGTCTTCATACTCAGATTGTAAGGTATTGTTGTGTATACCTACTATAACAGTTACTATAGACCATACTCACTATATCAGAGGGGAGATCCTCCAAGTCTTCATACTCAGATTGTAAGGTATTGTTGTGTATACCTACTATAACAGTTACTATAGACCATACTCACTATATCAGAGGGGAGATCCTCCAAGTCTTCATACTCAGATTGTACAGTATTGTTGTGTATACCTACTATAACAGTTACTATAGACCATACTCACTATATCAGAGGGGAGATCCTCCAAGTCTTCATACTCAGATTGTAAGGTATTGTTGTGTATACCTACTATAACAGTTACTATAGACCATACTCACTATATCAGAGGGGAGATCCTCCAAGTCTTCATACTCAGATTGTAAGGTATTGTTGTGTATACCTACTATAACAGTTACTATAGACCATACTCACTATATCAGAGGGGAGATCCTCCAAGTCTTCATACTCAGATTGTAAGGTATTGTTGTGTATACCTACTATAACAGTTACTATAGACCATACTCACTATATCAGAGGGGAGATCCTCCAAGTCTTCATACTCAGATTGTAAGGTATTGTTGTGTATACCTACTATAACAGTTACTATAGACCATACTCACTATATCAGAGGGGAGATCCTCCAAGTCTTCATACTCAGATTGTAAGGTATTGTTGTGTATACCTACTATAACAGTTACTATAGACCATACTCACTATATCAGAGGGGAGATCCTCCAAGTCTTCATACTCAGATTGTACAGTATTGTTGTGTATACCTACTATAACAGTTACTATAGACCATACTCACTATATCAGAGGGGAGATCCTCCAAGTCTTCATACTCAGATTGTAAGGTATTGTTGTGTATACCTACTATAACAGTTACTATAGACCATACTCACTATATCAGAGGGGAGATCCTCCAAGTCTTCATACTCAGATTGTAAGGTATTGTTGTGTATACCTACTATAACAGTTACTATAGACCATACTCACTATATCAGAGGGGAGATCCTCCAAGTCTTCATACTCAGATTGTAAGGTATTGTTGTGTATACCTACTATAACAGTTACTATAGACCATACTCACTATATCAGAGGGGAGATCCTCCAAGTCTTCATACTCAGATTGTAAGGTATTGTTGTGTATACCTACTATAACAGTTACTATAGACCATACTCACTATATCAGAGGGGAGATCCTCCAAGTCTTCATACTCAGATTGTAAGGTATTGTTGTGTATACCTACTATAACAGTTACTATAGACCATACTCACTATATCAGAGGGGAGATCCTCCAAGTCTTCATACTCAGATTGTACAGTATTGTTGTGTATACCTACTATAACAGTTACTATAGACCATACTCACTATATCAGAGGGGAGATCCTCCAAGTCTTCATACTCAGATTGTAAGGTATTGTTGTGTATACCTACTATAACAGTTACTATAGACCATACTCACTATATCAGAGGGGAGATCCTCCAAGTCTTCATACTCAGATTGTAAGGTATTGTTGTGTATACCTACTATAACAGTTACTATAGACCATACTCACTATATCAGAGGGGAGATCCTCCAAGTCTTCATACTCAGATTGTAAGGTATTGTTGTGTATACCTACTATAACAGTTACTATAGACCATACTCACTATATCAGAGGGGAGATCCTCCAAGTCTTCATACTCAGATTGTAAGGTATTGTTGTGTATACCTACTATAACAGTTACTATAGACCATACTCACTATATCAGAGGGGAGATCCTCCAAGTCTTCATACTCAGATTGTAAGGTATTGTTGTGTATACCTACTATAACAGTTACTATAGACCATACTCACTATATCAGAGGGGAGATCCTCCAAGTCTTCATACTCAGATTGTACAGTATTGTTGTGTATACCTACTATAACAGTTACTATAGACCATACTCACTATATCAGAGGGGAGATCCTCCAAGTCTTCATACTCAGATTGTACAGTATTGTTGTCTACATCCACTATAATAGCATCGCCCAGTTCAGACATCTTCATTTTCTGAAGGAACATTAAAGATCATGTTGTTACTTTATCTATTATTTATTAATTCTACAAGTAATGAAAGAAACTTCTCATATTAGCTGTCACATACATCATTTTTATCATAAACAGCAGGTGTCATTTTTCGTGACTAGATTTAGACACATTTTAACAATTCAGATTTTTGGAACCATTCAAATAGAACAAAAACAGTAAAAGTCAGCCAGTCAGAGGTGGTGTATGTTACCTGTACTAGTGTGGCATGTACCCCTATCACATACGGCATTGGTGCACTGAAATATAAAACCAGGGAGCATTGCTAGATAGACATACATCACCAAGACAAAATGTACACTGGAAGATAGCATCCTGAACTGTACCATACACTCAACACTACTCTACAAACATTGGAAAATAATCCATGAATGTTAGATGGAAAATATAGATGTTTTTTAAAGACAAGTTAAAACAACTAATGTGCAGTTTGAATATACACTGTAGCAGGTATTCAAACTTGCTTATTTGAATTTATTTCACATAAGCAAATTTGAAAGAAGATTTGACTGTGATGTTGGTACAGAGACTTACTATATATAGACTTTGTATGGACTAGGACGACCTTAAGTTACCTGAGATAATCTAAAAGGTGAGCTGGAAGTATGGGGATAAACAGGTGCTGCCAGAACATAGGGTAGAGCAACGACACCGAGGCGTGGATACAGGCAGTCAGGCGCGACAGGCGACGAGACGTCACAATTATTCTTCTCTCATTCAGCATACTGCAATTTAAACAAACAGATGTTACCTTTACCTTTTAACTTTCAATATACCAAGTAGTTATACAGATTAATAGGTGAACCAGTTTGGCCATAGGAGAAAGATCTTACCTGGAAAACACAATCAAGATCTTACCTGGCAAACACAATCAAGATCTTACCTGGCAAACACAATCAAGATCTTATCTGGCAAAAACAATCAAGATCTTACCTGGCAAACACAATCAAGATCTTACCTGGCAAACACAATCAAGATATTACCTGGCAAACACTATCAAGATCTTATCTGACAAACACAATCAAGATCTTACCTGGCAAACACAATCAAAAATTACCTGGCAAACATCATCAAGATATTACCTGACAAACAAAATCAAGATCTTACCTGGCAAACACAATCATCATGTTGGCAGTGTCCATAGCATTGTAATACTCTGTTAGGTTTCTCTGAAAACAGAAAAATAGACATGGAAACAGTGCAGGTATTTCTAGTTTTTTGTTTAAAATGTTTTTCTACCACAAAACATGACTAACTGACTTGTCATTTAAGTGTAGTCAATCACCAGTCAAGGCTGTACATGTGTATAACATTTGAAAGTATGTTTGTTAATTTATTTACTTGTATTGTAGGTAAACCAGGGATGTACTGACATTTGAAGGTATACTTAGTAATTTATTAACTTGTATTGTAGGTAAACCAGGGCTCTACTGACATTTGCAGGTATACTTAGTAATTTATTTATTTGTATTGTAGGTAAACCAGGGCTCTACTGACATTTGCAGGTATACTTAGTAATTTATTTACTTGTATTGTAGGTAAACCAGGGATCTACTGACATTTGAAGGTATACTTAGTAATTTATTTATTTGTATTGTAGGTAAACCTGGGATGTACTGACATTTGAAGGTATACTTGGCAATTTATTTACTTGTATTGTAGGTAACCCCGGGATGTACTTACATTTGAAGGTATACTTAGCAATTTATTTACATGTATTGTAGGTAAACCAGGGATGTACGAAAATTTGAAGGTATACTTAGTAATTTATTTACTTGTATTGTAGGTAAACCTGGGATGTACTGACATTTGAAGTTATACTTAGTAATTTATTTACTTGTATTGTGGGTAAACCAGGGATGTACTGACATTTGAAGGTGTACTTGGCAATTTATTTACTTGTATTGTAGGTAAGCCAGGGATGTACTTACATTTGAAGGTATACTTGGCAATTTATTTACTTGTATTGTAGGTAAACCAGGGATGTACTTACATTTGAAGGTATACTTGGCAATTTATTTACTTCTGGGGCAGTGAAGTTCAACATCTGTATATGAAAGAAATCTCATTTAGGTTGTTGCAATGGTTACTGAAGCATTGAACTGCTTTCAGTTTGCATTCATATTGCCTATGAAATCCAACTGAAAGCAGTTCAATACTTATATTATAATTTACCAATTTGTTTGGAATCTGTTCAGCTCATAGACAATTCAATTACACTTATTGTTATTCAGCATTTAGTTCAAATAATGCATGTATCGTGTCTGCTTGTTCAATGAATAGAACAGCCATCGCCCAGGGAGGGTCAATGGTATCCAATGTAACAATTATCACTTCCTAATGATGATGACGTCAACAATCGGTCCATGTCATTCATAGCCTATATGAATGCCAACTTAATTTGGTAGGATTATATAGTGTCAGCCATGAGATTGTAAGTATATTTACATGGTTTCTACATGTGAAGGAAACATGAACATGGTTGCTAGGACACATTTACATTGCTGCCAGAAAACATTTCCATTTTTATATGTAAAAGATGGGTAAATTACTATGGTAACATACATCTTGGTTGGCTGCTATGGTAACAGGAACACCAGGCGCTGGCACATCCTGGACATAGGCAGCTCTCAGAAAGGAAGTCATATCTCTCTCGTAGTTGTGGTTCAACATCTCTGCCAACTGGTTCAGCAGATTGTAAAAGATCTCGAACCAGGGGAAGTAACTGTAAAATAACATCAGGTAAATCAAATGTGTAAAGCTGTTTTCGGTAATAGCAATTGTAAAACGTAATATGCTAAAAATACATAATGTAATAATGATAATGGTTACAACTGAATACTCAGTAAACTTACCTGACAATACACAGACATGTTTGGGCCCCCGTTGCGTGACGACAAAAGACAAACTTGAGTGTACTATCTATCTCTGTAAGTACGAATGTGAAGTGGTCCACCGTAGTCCTGTAAAGGGTGACAACACATAGTTAGCGGGGTCTAATGATTAGTTACATAATAAACGATGACCGGTGCAATGTATTGGATATCTACCTTGATATGCTTTTGAATGTCTATTTTTATGCATAAGAGTTCTAATGTTTATAGCGGGAATGGGTCAAAATATATAGCAAAGATGAGGTAAAATAATTACAGGATAAACAAATAAATAGAAATAAATTACTAATATTCACTGAAATAAATCTGATGAAAATTACATTAAATAAATCAATTTTCACAAATACAACTAATATTCAAATTAAATTCTTTAAAACAAAAAACATGACTGTTTGCCTGAATTGTTGGTTACATAAAACAAAACTGATCATATTTACAAGAAAACTTTTGATGAAAAATAGAAGACCAGTTAAAAAGAAAACAAATTCAAAAATATTTCTTAAAAGAAAGATAATTTATACAAAACATAATAGCATTTTTTGATATCTGATAAATTAACATATTACAAGTTTACATTTATTTGATTAAATACTGATTTAAAATGAAAATAAAATACAAACTTAAATAAAGATAAAAGAAATGAGGCAGAAGAGCAGTGACTGACTATGATTATTAGCAGATGTATATATATACATTGAAATTCAGAAAAGTCTTTATCACTTGAAGACTTATGGTGTTAGTACACTACACTAAAAGCCAAACTAAAATCTTTCCTTGATAATGGTATAGGTAATGGTTTTATTGACAGACACTGACTATATCAACACGTAGTTAATCTCTATATATTTGTCACACATTCAGAAGCTTATAACAGATCTGGTATATATACAAGTACAGGCTGAAGTTTCTGTCAGAGACAGATGGCTGTGTAGCTGGTACAGAAGCCAGAGATCTTGTCACCATTACTATATTCCACCAATCATGACAATATCAGGCCAGGGTCACTCTATAAATTAGCGGCATAGGAAAAGAGACATGTTTCGAATTCTCAGATCAAGAGTCTGAGTATTTGAATCTATACAGTACCACCAAGTGTGGATTTATCAAACTTGTATTACCTCAAAAAGAACTGGAGCACATATTTCCTTAATGTTTAATAAACTTCATATGATATTATATATATATATGTAACAAGATCATAGATATCAGCTTCTCCCTCTAACAGTATATATATAATGTGTTCCAGTACCAACAAACTCCAGCTACTTTGGGAGTCAGCCATTAATTTGTTTGAAAACATCAAACCAACATGTAAATAGATATCATCACAGTCTACAATGTTCAATGCTTTGGTGCTTTCTGTCCAATAAAATGTATAAATTACTGGCATTGGTGTAATTTGTATAAAGTTAAATTTGACTGCCAATAAAATATGACAATAATCCGAGTAAGACCTGGCACTGATATTTTACCTCTGATGAATGTTATAAATATTGCAGAGCGCTCTTGTCAAACAAGAAAAAAAATCTGAAAGATTATTTGTATTTGGTTTCTGAACACACTCATGGTAAAATCACCTAGTATCGTGTAAGAGCTTATCTATTCCCGTTTTAACCTTAACAACTCACAGAATAAGTTTAGGGGTAACAATTTCTGATGTTACCCTCATAAATGATTCTGAGCTACCAGTAATTAGATTAAATGATAGCTACCACTCAGCATTGAAGACTGTGACAATTGACTGATCTGAGCCCAGTCTCAAAACACTATATTTCTTCTTTTCCAAATTAACTTATTGATTTCACGGAAATTTGTTGGGGTTTATTTGGGTAACTTTCCAGGAAAAGAAGAGATATAATGATGTTGAGATAAGGCCGGTGAGACACACAGAAATAACTAGAGACAGACAGGTGTACCACCGAGACAGTCAAAGCTGGTGGCACGCAGCTCAGAAAACTTACGTGTACCTTTCAGTGTCGCATGGAAACGCAAATTTGGGAACAGACTTAAGAACTTCCTGTACAAAAAAGTTTAAAGTGTTAACAAGTATGTTCAACATTTAACAGGAAACACTATAAATACATCAGCTAAACTTAATCTCAGTTTGTACCTGCTGGTCGGTCAAGTTCCTCTCAAACTCTACAGTGTGCTCATCACTAAACAGGGGAGATCTCCCCAGTCACTCTGAGCACTGTTTTTCTACTTGTGACAATTTGGAAGTTATAGACTTGACTATAGTTCTTTAAAATATGATTTACACATAGTAAACATTATAAAAGTCAGTAACAGACAAAATAGAGAGAAGAGCCTCATTAAAGGCTGTATCAACATACAGTAATTAATATTAACTTCAATTTAATGGAAGCCTGGATCTGCCTTCTTGAAGATAACATAAATGTTTTGAAATAATCAAGATATGTATTCCCTTCACTGAGTATTCATCTAAATCATACTTGCCAACTCTCCCTATTTAGCAGGGAGACTCCCGATTTTGGACTCTAAAATTTCGTATTTTCAACCAGTGAATTTGCTAAACTATTCCTATATTCTAATTAGATCTAATAATTTCATTGAAAGAAAAATTCAAAATATGTAATTTTAAAGGGTTCTCTTGTCTCTTGTATACACACATTTTGTTTATGTTTTAAATTTGAGCAGAATCTCCCCATGGACATTTCCAAAGGTTGATAAGTATGCTAAATAGTGATAATGTTATTGCAATGTAAATTGTATGTAATAAAACTGAGAGAAGGCTAAGATATGCTGATTTTAGCCTAATACAATTGCATTAAGCAATAGCAAAGTTGTTAAAATGAACAGTTATCTTCAAGCTGTACAAATAACCTCCTTTTTTAAGAGGTATCTTTTACTGTTTTATGCAAAAGCTCCCTTTTCAAAGAGTTTTTTGTTTTGGCTTATAATGTACAAGTTGCCTCCCTTCCTAAAGGAATTAAATCAAAATAATTACCAAACCTAAACTTCAGTGTATAAACTTGTCTTCAAATAAACCTAAAGTTATATGCATAAAAATCCTCAATTGGCCCTATGCTAGTTTAAAAAAAAGTTACAAGGGTGTTAGATGCTAAAAAAAAATCAAGAATGCAACCTCTATCCTTTATAGACCTATAATCTATAGAGGAAGACATCTGTTTAATAGGGAAGCAAGTCTTACTATTGGGAGAGTTAGCTGCCCTCTCTAAAAGGCGAATCAACTCAATTCGTAATTTGCTTAAGCATAAAATTGAAAAGTAAAAGTTATGCTTTATGTCCAAAAATTATAATTAAGCCTATGGCAATGTGACCATAGTAATTTACCCATACATACATGTATGCAAGACCACACACTTGTGTTTTTCTAACAAATCAGAAAGCACAAGTTTATTGTGCGGATGAATATATTCAAGAGTGCGCGGAGCTCACAAGTTAATATATACGTCCGCACAATGAATGAGTGCTTTCTGATTCGTTAAAAAAACACAAGTGTGTGGTCTTGCTTTTATTACATACCTTCCGTATTTGGTAGAGATCAATACAAAGATTTTATAAACTTTGATATTTTTTGCAAATACCGCGAACTTTTAAGTTCACCATTCAATTCCCATAAAAAGTAGTTCCGGCTAGTAGGCAAATACAACATTCCGTATTGCACATGTGCAATACAGAGCGTTTTATTACATGGTCTGAAAATTGCTTTTACATGTATTACTATAACAAGATTTAACAGGTATGTGATAAAACCCTGTCCTGAACTCGTCACATGACACAATGGTTATACAGGTGTTAATTAAATGGTGTCACCTGTCCACCCACCTGTATATACTACATTATAGATATCACATCTATTCCAAGTACACTTTGTTGACCTATCATTATTGCTTGATGATTTCCAACTAATTCTGTTGACTAAACAAATGTTAAAACAATTCAAAGTACATCAGTACTGTATTACACATTAATACATCACATAAACACAGGGCTACATGTACTTTTTTGAATATGCCTGAGATAACATTAGCCAATTACAGCATGTCCCATAGGGTGGTTGGCTGGTGCGGTGGATAGCGCACTTGCCTTTCACCAAGGCAGCCAGGGTTTGATTCCCTGATCGGAGGTGAAAAAGGTATAAGGTCACCTGCCCGACCATGTGGATTCTCACCGGGTACTCCGGTTTCCTCCCACTCTAAGACCCCATGTGCGCTAACATTCGGGCCAACAAGATAGGTTGAAATAATTTGTTTCATAATTGTTGTAAGATAAATAAAGTTTATATTACAAGTACATCTATATTTATATATGCCCCCTCGCTGTCCCTAACAGAACCCTAATGATGATGTACTTACCTCATCACTGTAGTCCCTTGGGTAATTTTGTATTAAAAAAGGCTCTGTAATGATAACATTAGGAGGCATTATTGTCATAATAAAATTTATACTATTATAGATTTATATGATATAGAGTTAAACACTGTAATAGATTATAGATTTATATGATATAGAGTTATACACTGTAATAAATCTCGATGGAGGTTTTGCCAGCAATGTAGTGTTACAACATGGCAAGCTGTGACTGGGATCAATCAGTAGTGATCACACATTATCTGTCTGGTATCTCTTCCGCACAAAATCTGTCATTACAACTCATTGATTTAAATGATACTTTTTTGCATTAATTGTTTTAAACAAACAAATCCTACTTTGCATAAATGAAAAGAAAAGTCCCTTATGAACAGACCACAAACTTACAGAGTTTATAATTCATTGTATTTACTGGAATCAAACAATGAATTGTGTTACATCAACAAAAACTATTAACTAATTTTGAAGTTGAAAAAATTACGAGAATATGAGGTAATATTTCCTGTATAAAAACCATTGAAACATGATACCAGATGCTAAAATGTATGTACAAACAGAACAGGATAGAAATAATCTTGCGCTGAGATTTCCTTGTAAGGCTGATATACAAACACCTCTATTGATCTACCAGAGTTACATACCTTCATGTTCTCCATTGGCTTTTCCTATTTCCATGAAAACTTCATAGATTTTCTCTGGATTCTCTCTGAATTAGAAATGGAGAAAAACATTGTTGAAAACATGACTTTCTACAACACAGAACAACGACAATAATTGGTAGGTAACCATGTGTATTAAAGGCAGTCATTGAATAGGACACTTCAAAGATAGAGTAGTAACTACCCGTAGTAATTTATATAATGGTTCCTAAATACTGAGCAACAGATGACTGGCCGTGTGGTGATGAGGATAGAGTAGTTACTACCCGTAGTAATGGTTCCTAAATACTGAGCAACAGATGACTGGCCGTGTGGTGATGAGGATAGAGTAGTAACTACCCGTAGTAATGGTTCCTAAATACTGAGCAACAGATGACTGGCCGTGTGGTGATGAGGATAGAGTAGTTACTACCCGTAGTAATGGTTCCTAAATACTGAGCAACAGATGACTGGCCGTGTGGTGATGAGGATAGAGTAGTTACTACCCGTAGTAATGGTTCCTAAATACTGAGCAACAGATGACTGGCCGTGTGGTGATGAGGATAGAGTAGTTACTACCCGTAGTAATGGTTCCTAAATACTGAGCAACAGATGACTGGCCGTGTGGTGATGAGGATAGAGTAGTTACTACCCGTAGTAATGGTTCCTAAATACTGAGCAACAGATGACTGGCCGTGTGGTGATGAGGATAGAGTAGTTACTACCCGTAGTAATGGTTCCTAAATACTGAGCAACAGATGACTGGCCGTGTGGTGATGAGGATAGAGTAGTTACTACCCGTAGTAATGGTTCCTAAATACTGAGCAACAGATGACTGGCCGTGTGGTGATGAGGATAGAGTAGTTACTACCCGTAGTAATGGTTCCTAAATACTGAGCAACAGATGACTGGCCGTGTGGTGATGAGGATAGAGTAGTTACTACCCGTAGTAATGGTTCCTAAATACTGAGCAACAGATGACTGGCCGTGTGGTGATGAGGATAGAGTAGTTACTACCCGTAGTAATGGTTCCTAAATACTGAGCAACAGATGACTGGCCGTGTGGTGATGAGGATAGAGTAGTAACTACCCGTAGTAATGGTTCCTAAATACTGAGCAACAGATGACTGGCCGTGTGGTGATGAGGATAGGACATACAACATAAGTACACACTTCAGTCACTGAGAATCTTTTGGAGCTTATAAATAAAATATCAAATTTTTGAAGAAAAACATGTTTAGTCCAGTTTTAAAAGTACAATTTCATAAATAGAGGTATAGTTTATTTTCAAATAAAATAACAGATACATGGACAACTCAGTGATTAAAATGAGATGATGATGTTTGGATATTGCATTCATAATCTCAAAAACAAGGGAGACTATTAGGTACTGTGGGATAGCTTATAGTTATAATGAAGATTTAACATATTCAGGCCAAGATATTCAGTTTCTTATCCAGGAAATTGTATGTATGGTCATAATAATTTGTAAAATGGTTCCATTCACCTCAGACATTTTAAAGAATTTAATATAATCTGTAATTTCATTGTATGCAATGCAATAAAATCCTATTACTATAAGTTCATGTAATTCATAAACAAGCCATTCGGATTGATGTGTCTCGCCTATGCCCCGCTTTGACCATCAATGCACATATCAGAGAAACTAACTTAAAAGCAAAATCTTAATGTTGATGGAGATGCTGACAAAGTCAATGGACCATAAAAGGTAGGCCGCATCCAGCATTTGATGCATGGGTTGAGATGTAACTACCTTAAACGCAACAACTCAATGTTGACGCCGTCGCCATAAAAGCAACCCCTTATTTTTGCATCCACTTCATGGCACCAAGACAAAAAGGCCTAACACATTAACTTTAACTTTTGTTCATCCGTAAACCGATGCAATCGTTTAAAACCAATGCCCTTTAACTGTAGGTGACTATTTACATTCATTTTCTAGGTTTTAATATTAAATCAACATTCACAAATCACATCCACATTATTCTTGTTTAAAATGTCATCAGCAATAGCTGGCAATTAATCCTACCTGGTTTGGCAACACAGGGCTATATTTGTGTCATTATATTGACTATCAAAATTTTCATTGTGTGCCCATTTTCACCATGACACAAACATTATCATCAGACAGTTTGTATTTTATTGTGTGTGATTCACATGTCGTTGCTGTGGTGGATACTTGGCGAGATTTGGTCAGCAACAAGTTGTATATGACTCAATAGAATGACTGTCACTTTACGTGTTATCAATGTAATAGAACTGGACTGGTATGGGTATACAGCGACATGTAGGTAGCTCAATTGGTAGAGTATCTCACTATCTGACTAGACTATGAAGGATTCCGCGTTCAAATCCTGGTCCGGCTATGCATTTTTCTGTCTTCTGTTACAGTAGTGACTGTGGCCAATCCTCTTTTCAAAAACTGAGTGTCAAGGCAAGGGGATTACCAAGTCTGGGTTATAAATAATGATGTCTTCAGGGAAAAGACTTTGAAAAAGGAGGGAGGATGTAGCAGAACTGAACTGGGTCTATCACCGGCAACCAGGTAAGCTCAATCAGTAGAAGGTTAGGGTCTGTCTTGAGTTTGGAAGGTCTCAGGTTCATCATCTGGTCATGCGTTTTTTCTCTCTCCTATTACCTCTATATACTCATCAGGGACCATGGGGCCATTGACCCCTCAAAGCTGAAATTGATCGAACCCTCCATGTTCTATTTTTCTTTTAATTTTACATATCATGGCCCTTTTAATTTCAATATTGACTAAAAATTGCTAAAAATGTCCCACTACTCTCAAATTCCTGGATTTCCCCCGATACTAACTTGACAAATATCATTTTCTACTGAATATGACCAAATGAAGCACCTCTTTCTGTCATAAACTTTTTGTAAGTTATGCTGTCATGGAAAGTATCAACATTGGTGTGCCTGCGTTGTCCAATCCATCTGTTGAAATGAACCTAGTACATGATGACACAAACACTGATTCAAAACCAGTAACCTGTATAAGTCCATAATTACATCTATTCAATTGACTATTAATCAGTTAACTACAGTTAGGCTCTGTTGCGATTTCATAACAAATGAGTAAGATTTTATTATCACAACCAAATGGATATTCATGTTTTGCTTATCAAAGATATGTATCATGTATGGGAAAGGAAAATGTGAAAGCAAACATATTTTATAATTTTAACAGAATGCATCCGGCCCCTGCTATGACCAGATAATAAAGATTGTCTAAAATTACGGTGATTACGACTAGCAGGTGTTATTTGCACTCATACACCACATGGCTAACGCGTCTGTCTACAGACAGTCTGTGACATTTGTCATTACACTAACAATGGCATGTTCTGCAAGACTGCGGATAGCGCCTCCAGATATGACATTTGGGAAAGGGGTGTTGACAAAGTCAAGAAATTTTCGGCTTATTGGGAACACTTTCGAGGGTAATCGACAACAAATACCTGATTCTAGAACCCATATTTCCACACACTGGTTCTAACAAATAATCTTGAATCCCTGCCTCGTCCAATTAACGTCATGTTCTGTAATATATAGTCAATTTCTTCTTTGCATTATTTCTATTTGACAGGAAGTAACGTCGTGTCGGCCATTTTGTCACTCGTTCTTTCTCGTGACTGTTCCATGTCGTAGAGAAATTAGAAGAGGTGTTCCGAAGAAGTGTCCTCTGCTCGGAGAGGAGTTACCTGAGTGGGTGATGAGTCTGACATAGACAGGCTAACCAGGTGTGTGACCCAATCATGGTGCTTATCCATCTAACACTTACTGATTTAACCTATAGATGAAAATATGAATAAACACGTTATGCACTCTGGTATATCAAAGTAGACTAGATTAATCAATGAGTCATAAAATTAATTAAAGTTATTAACTAGGACATAGTAAATTAAAAGTGAACAACTATGAAGAAGCGTCAACAGAAGCAATGTATTATACTTACGAAAACGTCGACCACCATGAACCATAGTAAATACTTTTTTGTGCACTTTTTCAGTATGCTTAAATACACTAGGCTATTACATATTGTATCCTTTATTATCCTTTATTTCTTCGCTCCATTGTCTTAAGTGAAACATTTACTCATATGTCACTATAATTGAGTATTGATTTTTTATAATGTATACATTTCTTATGAAGTGGTAATATTTATTGAAAACTTAATTATTGAGTTCTGATATATCATTACTCACTTATAGTGACGTTGTACACTAATTTGATGTTGTTGAATCATGATTTTACATGTTAACTCGTTCACTGAGTCAATCATCTTATATATAGACTTGCTGATCAGTTAAATTACCTGATATCAATGCTCATATTGAGTCATTCTTGCAAACATATAAGCTGTTTGAGTCGATCATTATCAGAAATGTAACCCATACAGTCATTATGCTGCATGTAAATTATAACACATTGAGTGATCTTTACTCTTAACTCATTGAGTATGATTATCTTTTATAATTACCCATCAAGTCATAATATCTAATGTTATCTCATGGAGTAATTTTAGCATTAATCATTGAAATAGTCATTGTACATGTGGCTTTGTACTTGTTGAGTCATTATCTCATATATATATATAATCTCGCTCTGAAGTGAGTGACTCAGAGTTAATTATCTGATATTAATACATATATTGAGTTATTGCAAAATAAAAACTCAGTAAGTCATGGTCTTAAATGTTAATCCATGGAGTGAAATTGTCATGCATCATTAATTAATTCAAGAGTCCCTCTGTGGTACTACTAAAGGCAGTCCTATACTGTATAGGTTTGTATTGTAAGAGGCGACTAATGAGGAAACCCCTGCAGAATTGGGGAATGCTTTTGTGTCCTCTATGTACTAAATGGGGACACAAAAGCGACCAAAGTAAATCTGCTGCAATCATTGCAATATTTGGGATCTTTATCTTTCTTTCTACTTCCAGCTACATGTACCTCCGATTCCCTTGCTTGGCAACACCTCACTGCTGGCTTCAATGTTCAGCGTGCGCCCAGGTGAGGAAGGCAATGGTTTCTATCCCCATACCGGTGTAGCATGGTATTGTGAAGCATGGTGAAATGAACAGCAGTTCATATTGCCATTATGGTTATATGAACCGCCCCATGGTGAAATGAAGGGTTCCATCGATTTCTATTCTGACAAACTTTTTTCCATTCATTTTCTTTAAGTTTACTTCAACTTGATGTATTCTATCTGAAAACCACAAAAATTATGTCTGGGGTAGGGAAATCTACAATTTTTGACACCTTACATCAATTTAACAAACAATCACCATTATGGTAAAGTGACCTATCCCACCCCTACCCTCCCCAATAAAAAAATCTCCTTATACTTTTATTATTTTCATATTTAAAACAATAAATAACAAATGTTATATACTAAAGAAAGTGTAAGCAGAGAAAAGCTTATTAAATATATATACGAAAAAGGGATCATTTCACCATTATGGTAAAGTGAAGCGCCCCTGCCCCACCCCAAATTTCTCTACCCCAGACTTTATTTTTGTGATTTTCATATTCAGATATTCAAAGTGATGTAAAGTAAAGCAGATTTGGTTTAAAAAAAGTCAAATAGAAGAAAAAGTGCTAAAACCCTTCATTTCACCATTGTGGTAAAGTGAAGCGCCCCTGCCCCACCCTAAATTTTTCTACCCTTGACTTAATTTTTGTCATTTCAGATAGAATACATCAAATTGAAGTAAACTTAAAGAAAATGAATGGAAAAAATGTGTAAGAATAGAAATCATAGAAACCCTTCTTTTCACCATGGACGGTTCATATTACCAAACCATGGTTCATTTCACTATGGCCTTCATATTACCATACTACACCGGGACATACCACAGTCTTTAAAAATGGTAGTTGTTATTCCCTGCTTTACGCTCAGCATTTACGGGAAATGCAACAACTGGTTCATAGGTTGTCAGTATAATGTGACGGGACGAAATGCTGTGCTGGGTGCCTTTGGCATGGCATTTTAGTGAGATAGCACAATAATTGAAGTCAACATCAGATTCATGCTATTGCAAGAAGGCAAGCACACCAACATACCTGCTGTATCCTGCACACACACACATGCAAGCACGCATACACTACACACATGGAGGCACATCCTTAAACTACCTGAGCTGTTAATAGGTAATTAAATAAAATAAAACCAAACCAAACCTGTAGCTTTGAACTCTGTCCATCCATCTGTCAGTCTGTGCATGACATTTTTTGGGGAATATCTCATTCTTTGACACCAAAAATTACAGAATTCTCATGCTCAAACTCAAAATCTGTGCTCAAACACAGTTTCTTGTTTTGAAAATCTATACACAAAAACAATCTCATTTTGTCAGTGATTTGGAGGACAGTTGGAGACAATTGAAGTCAAATACCGTTTTCAATATTTACACTTCAAGTTTTGACCATGTCACATGTTTTAAGCGAGTTACAAGAAAGTTAACTTGAGCACTGAATCCATGCTTGAGCACAAGAATGGTTTCATGAATATGGGCCCTGGTCTTGACCATATAATTATTTTTAAAATTTCCAAGTGTTATTTTCATTCTTACAGCAAAGTATTAAAAATCTAATAATATATGATTTTTTTTTTTTATTAAATTTGTGAATTTATGTACATTATTGTGATTACTCCTTGAGTCATTTTACTTTTAAGTATTTATCATTTGTCATCATCATTGGTATTGAAAAAAACGCTTTCGTGCTCAAACTCAGATTCTGTGTTCATGATCAAGTCCAAGTTCTTGTGATAAAGTAATGTTTAAAAATCCCAAATATATCATAATTCTCTCTTTCCATTATGCTTTCCAGCCCAAGGAAGGATGTCCATAGGTTGCAAGAAAATGAGTTTCAGTCCATATTTTGGGTTTGAGAATGAGAATGGCTTTAAGGTTATGAAGTGAGATTTTACTTAATTTTCTGACTGAGTAAGCTGAGACATATTATTTTCTTCTAGTATTATTGCAGAGATTAGAAGAGAAGTTGCCAACATAGATGTGTGTCACAGACTATCTACACAACAGACACCTGGGGATTTCCTTCAGCTCTCACGGGATCAGCTCTTCCTCCAGGGAGTATGACTCTGGTCATGATGAAACTCTTTCCTGTACGTACATTCTGTCCTGGAATCAAGTCCATAACATCAAGAGTGTCTAGTATCGCCTGGATGTTCTCTTTCAAACAAAAAACAGTATGTGATAAAGGACATGGTACCAGCAGTCATAAAAACGAACTTGGCATCGTCAATAAAAATGTGAATAGGGCATGTAGTATCCAATTTGTACGAAATAGTGGATCATTCCTTGGTGTTCCTATCAACAGAGTGGTGGTTTGTGGACACAGAGTTGGAGAGCTCACTCAATGTCCTATCCGGTTATTCAGCGCGGTATCATCAGAAGGAGAAAGTGACATGACGTGGGAGGAGTTGGTGGATTACAGCAGGTTGTCTCCCCAGGAAAGGAACACGCATGAGCGTCACAAGAAAGCAGTGAGGGTAAAACCACTGAAGTTTTGTTCAGTACATAGGCACTTGACGCTTTGTTATGTCAGATTATTTTTTTTATATAAGGAATTTTTTTTTTTTCAAAATTATTATCTGAGAATTATCTGAATAAAAAAAAAATGACATTTTTTTTTTTTTTTAAATGTACATGATTCGAACCAATGATTCATTGGTTGGAATGCATGTACATTATTATAAATTTCTTTTTTTATTCAGATAATTCTCAGATAATAATTTCGATTTTTTTTTTTTAATCTGACATAACAAAGCGTCATGTGCCTATGTTCAGTATAATGTCTTTAAACTTGACAGTTTAATATATGATGATTTACGAAATTATCCTCTGGATCTTGAAGTCACCATTATAATTCCTCTTAATCAGCTTAACATTTAACTATATTACAATAGTGGTATCCTCTCTACCAGACTAATTGATTAACATAACAACTTAAATCATGTCATCACTCCCTGCTACATGTCACATCCATTCCCTAAGGTAAAATAGAAAGCAACCTACAATAGCATCAGATAGATCTGTGTTTTCAGCTTTCAACAGACGAGATTAATGTTTCCTATCTTGAAAAACAGTTCAATTTTAAGATTTTGTATGCTTACAATGTGGGTAAATCTGAAGGTAGGAAAGCCAGAAAAAAAACAAAATTTTTGGTTGATTGGGAATCTCCAGGATTTTCGTTTGATTTTGGTGTCAAATATAGAGTTAATTGATTCCACAACGTGAGTATATTACAACATGTTAAAGTCCATATTAGTAAAGTTGAACAAAAAACCTAACAAGTATAAATTGTATGCTGAGCCAATATATCGTTTCTAGAAATTGTTATAGAGACAAAGTATTCACAAGAACAGCATCTGTACTCGGAGTAGTTTCAAGAAAAAACCCAGAACTGATGAGACTTTAAAACACCAGGAAAGACCTCATAAATGTCCACAAAACATGGAGGCAAAACTAGGAGCTGTAGAATGTTAAGTGTTTGCTACACTAACTGTGACACCTGTCACGATAGTTCCAATTACATCAAGGGACACTGGTAGGTCTACAACGATCGCAAGACACAATGAACAAGTATTTAACCTTATTTATGTTAGATAATTGAGCAGGTCAACAACGACCTCAGGACACATTGCACAAATCTTTATTCATGGTAGACACTGAAACTGGTCACAAACGATCACAAGACACATTGAACAAATCTTTATTTATGGTAGACACTGAAACAGGTTACACACGACCACAAGACACAGTTAGCAAATCTATATTCATGGTAGACACTGAAACAGGTCACACACGACCACAAGACACAGTTAACAAATCTATATTCATGGTAGACACTGAAACAGGTTACACACGACCACAAGACACAGTTAGCAAATCTATATTCATGATAGACACTGAAACAGGTCACACACGACCACAAGACACAATTTACAAATCTATATTCATGGTAGACAATGAAACAGGTCACACACGACCACAAGACACAGTTAACAAATCTGTATTCATGGTAGTCTGAAACAGGTCACCAAAAGACCTCAAGACACATTGACCAGTTTTAAGTCTTCGTAAACACTGGGACAGATCACCAACGATTACAAGACACCGTAAACAAATCTTTATTCATGGTAGTCTGAAACAGGTCACCAAACGACCTCAAGACACAGTGAACACGTCTTTATTCATGATTGAAAAAAAAATATTATTGGGAAAAAAGTAAAACAAATTTAGTCATAATGAGAACCTTTAAATTCCTGAAAGGTAGACTAAACCTCTCGCGTGGAAACTCTTGACCGCGTATTCTATTTTTATAGGGAACCTGCTTATGTTGACTATATTAGTTTACCGGACGCATATACCCAGAAAAGCTTAATACTTGGAACATATTTTGATTGGAGTGACTCAACTGATACATTGTATGTAACATCCAAAAGCAACAGACCGATGTGACCGATGAATTAAAGCAAATGTGCCTATTGCGCATGCTCGACTCAGATCAAGTCCCAAGGATTTCATTTTGATATACCAATCCATTTTTTCTAAACCAAAAGTATATATAAATATTTTTATGAAAGAGGTTTTTTTTGCTGAACTTAACGGAAAGTAATTCAACTTACAATGCGTAGTGAAATGGGAACCAGAACTGTGCGCTACTTCTAACCGTGTTTTGTATTCTTAGGATGGTGAATTTATAGACGGGCTTTAAAGAAATGAGATACTTTTCTTTCAATGTCGCAATAGGATACTTGATGATTTCCATCGCATTTAAGGAACATCGATAATCGGTATGCGTTTCATTTATACTCCAAAACGTGAAATTGAAGATACCACATAACACAGCCTCCTTTTGTTAAACTTTATCTCTTGATCTGTACCTTCAGCATGCCATTACTAGTAATGGTTATCTCACTACCAAACTATACGAGAGGCAATATTTACGTTGATGAAATTTTGTCGAAGTCATATTTACCTGATGAGCGCGAAACAGATGTCACAGTCTACCATGATTAAAAACTTGTTCGCTATGACTTAGAACATTGGTGATCTACATACTTAACAGGTTTAACAGCAGACATAGGGATGTCACATGAGCAGGAAACGCTCCCCCTTCCGGAGTATCTGGTGCCGTCCTCTATTTTGGTTGAGGTTTATGACATCGTTACCTTTGTTTTGGCGTCTCCTCAGTTCTTGCTCTTGTCTTTTTGTATTGACTTATTGTCAACATGTATTTCTTTTATAATCACGGTGTTGTAAATTTTAATTTACTGAACTATCATGTAATTGAAGTTACCATGTTTATATTCAAGTTTTGTAGTTAGACGAGCATTATTGCAATCTTATTGGTAAATGTCAAACGATTTGTAACGCCATGACCGTTATTGTCATCATGTAGGTAAATGTCAAGAAATGAAGTCAATAACTCACAATATCTTTGTGTCCTGAAAGGTAAATGAGATGCAAAATATTACTAGAAATACGTAGTAAGGAATCATTTGTAATCCGTTGTCGATGCAGAAAACAAGACAAAACAAACGTTTTACTGCATAATGCGGCTATTTCGTCCATTAAGGACTTATCCGTGATGCTGAAGGAGTTATTTCTAAGGTCATCCAAATTGAGCTGTTGAAGCGATTGCTTGTAGTATAAAAGCGTGGGAGCGATGGGCTTAGAATAGCTGTAAGAAATGATTTTAGTCCTTTTAATATCTGAAATACGGCGGTATGTTATCTTCGACGTTTGATGTAGGACATTACTGGTGTTAATGACATCTATTCCCTTGTTCGCTTATTCGATTTTCATAAAATCCGAGTTACCTGAGAGTTGTGACTATTCGCAAGAACTGGCTTAAAGAGTCGAATTTGTGCCACATCTTCAATGAGTTTATGAAGATCTCAAGCTAGTTTCCAAATATCATCAGGAACAGTTATAATAAATCCTCTTGTCATGTTTGAAATACATTTACCTACATTTATACAGTGTAGTTCGAATATGTTGGACAATGATGCAGTGGTTTCTCTAGTGTTTCCATAAGGCCTTCAAACGTATTCTGTTTCGGAACTGCCTTGGTAGTGTTATATAGTGACAATGCAGAGCAAATGTAAATATATCAATGTACAATATTTCATATACATTTCTTCTCTGGAGTGAACAAAGACATCAAATTAGTATGACTGCATCCTGGACTTGACATTTTTTTTACTGAGTTCACAAGGTCATTGCATCCATGTGGCACAGCCATGCAAAACTGTCTTGTATAATGCTACTCCCGTTGTCTACGGTACGGGGTTATAAGTGTAGGGATGTTAATTGAATTATACAGTTTAAATACGGACGGTCATTGAGAAAGTTTAATGTTCACGATGGTTGAACTGCTTATATCAACATTGATTTTCTCCAGTTACTTGCTGAACGATGACCATTCACTCGGTATGGTAATTGTCTGTTCCCTCCAGTTACTTGCTGAACGATGACCATTCACTCACTATGGTACTTGTCTGTTTCACCAAGTGCAGTGTACACTATACTTATCACTGACATGACTTACTCCAGTTCCCTCACTACAAAAATATTAATCCAGAAGATTTAAACCGCTCTGTAGTCCATTGATAGGCTGTGGATGTATCGTAGCCTTGTAACGGGAGTGTGTTCTGGCTCCGTTAACATGACATATACCAGTAAGTACAAATCAGTGGTAGTCAGAAGATTTAATTTTATAACGTTTTAAATGGTTTCATAGACCCATTTTGTTTTCTGTATATGACATATGTTTCGGAAGACTTTTGGTATTTTATTTTCATTGTTTTTGTTTATTTTTATTCTTTTAAACTTGAGTAGCACTGATGAGTCAGTCCTTCATGGACGGAATTACCATATGGGGTTTTAAAATAATTCTTTGTTTGGCTTTCCGCAACTGGCAACATGCTTTTCAAGTATTGTTTCTAGTTATTATTATACATCATAAATATTTTAATACAACGTACAAATCATATTAATATACTGTACGAATAAATGGATAACCATGGAAAGCATCGATAGACTGTAATGATAGACTACGAATATGTATCGATATACCTACACATATAACGAGAGGTATGCTGTTAGATTATAAATGTAGTATTATTGACGTACCATGATCCTCAGATTACTGCATTTACTAGAGGTTCCATGGCTAGTGAGAGACTCGGGTTCAGGCTTTTTATACTGGGTGATGTCTTTGACAAGTTCTAGATCCATACCGGAGGGAACCAGAGAGTTTAATCCGTTTCGTCACACTTTGTCTCGAGCATATCTCCTGTACTATCTAACCTAAAATTTCAATATTTTTTGTACCTTTGCAAATACATTTTGGGATGACAACGTTGTGTAAAAAAGGTAACTAGGACGTTTTGTTCCAACGTATATTCGAAAATGTGAAGGTTTCTCTATTTCGGTCCACTGCTTTTTCGTATCGGCTTTGTGATTCTGTTCAAATGTATTAGTGTTACTGTATGCTTTTTTGTTTGTTCCAGATCTGCTTGAAATAGAAAACATATGATTACTTGTTGTAGTCGAAATCAATATAAACGGTTATAAATGGGATATTGTTTGATGTGTGTTTAGGAGAAGCAATCATTCTACGCTGATCCGATGACTGGTTACCAAGTGATGACAAGATACGGCCACCTAAAAAGAGGCGACTGCTGTGGCAACGCCTGCAGACATGTAAGTCGCCCAGTAGTTGGGCATTGTAATACAGGGAGTGGCTGTACAGACATAACCCCTCACAATAAGCTAACATAGTGGAGTACTGTAATACAGGTAGTGGCTGTACAGGCATAGCCCGTCACAATAAGCTAACATAGTGGAGCATTGTAATACAGGTAGTGGCTGTACAGGCATAGCCCCTCACAATAAGCTAACATAGTGGAGCATTGTAATACAGGTAGTGGCTGTACAGGCATAGCCCGTCACAATAAGCTAACACAGTGGAGCATTGTAATACAGGTAGTGGCTGTACAGGCATAGCCCCTCACAATAAGCTAACATAGTGGAGCATTGTAATACAGGTAGTGGCTGTACAGGCATAGCCCGTCACAATAAGCTAACACAGTGGAGCATTGTAATACAGGTGGTGGCTGTACAGGCATAGCCCCTCACAATAAGCTAACATAGTGGAGTACTGTAATACAAGTGGTGGCTGTACAGGCATAACCCGTCACAATAAGCTAACATAGTGGGGTACTGTAATACAGGTAGTGGCTGTACAGGCATAGCCCGTCACAATAAGCTAACACAGTGGAGCATTGTGATACAGGTGGTGGCTGTACAGGCATAACCCCTCACAATAAGCTAACATAGTGGAGTACTGTAATACAGGTAGTGGCTGTACAGGCATAGCCCGTCACAATAAGCTAACATAGTGGAGCATTGTAATACAGGTAGTGGCTGTACAGGCATAGCCCGTCACAATAAGCTAACACAGTGGAGCATTGTAATACAGGTGGTGGCTGTACAGGCATAACCCCTCACAATAAGCTAACATAGTGGAGTACTGTAATACAAGTGGTGGCTGTACAGGCATAACCCGTCACAATAAGCTAACATAGTGGGGTACTGTAATACAGGTAGTGGCTGTACAGGCATAGCCCGTCACAATAAGCTAACACAGTGGAGCATTGTGATACAGGTGGTGGCTGTACAGGCATAACCCCTCACAATAAGCTAACATAGTGGAGTACTGTAACACAGGTAGTGGCTGTACAGGCATAACCCGTCACAATAAGCTAACATAGTGGAGCATTGTAATACAGGTAGTGACTGTGGTGGCATAGCCCGTCACAATAAGCTAACAGTGGGGTACTGTAATACAGGTAGTGGCTGTACAGGCATAACCCGTCACAATAAGCTAACATAGTGGGGTACTGTAATACAGGTAGTGACTGGTGGCATAACGCCTCACAATAAGCTAACAGGCATAACCCGTCAAATACAGGTAGTGACTGGTGGCATAACGCCTCACAATAAGCTAACATAGTGGACAATAAGCTAACATAGTGGAGTACTGTAATACAAGTGGTGGCTGTATAGGCATAACCCGTCACAATAAGCTAACATAGTGGGGTACTGTAATACAGGTAGTGACTGTGATGGCATAGCCCCTCACAATAAGCTAACATAGTGGAGCTTTGTAATACGTAGAGTGGCTATAGGCATAGACCATCATAACAAGCTAACCGAGAAACATTCTGTAGGGGTTAAGTTACGTCATCAAACGACAGTCTGTAGGGGTTAAGTTAGGTCATCAAACGACAGTCTGTAGGGGTTAAGTTAGGTCATCAAACGACAGTCTGTAGGGGGTTGTCACACAACCGGTTTACTCTGATTAGTCAGTCTATGAAGGCTAAGTTAAAAATCTGTTAGTTGTGTTTGCAAATGAAATGTCCCTATTGACATTGTAAAGATCTGTATTCTATCATTGCAGTGCCCCTATCAACATAAACGTGTTGCTGAGGAGGACAAAAAGATGATATTTAACTCAGCATTCTTTGTCCGAAGTGGAGAGTTTCAAGACACGTGATCAGTGATTCGTGTGCTAATGAATTGTTTTTTTTTTATATTGATTTATGGATATATGGGACGTGTACCAATGTAATGATGAAAACAAAACTATTGATATTCTTGTTATATCTGCTGTCAAGTCCATTATATATGATAGGCCATATACTTCTTAACAGGGAGAACAATGATATAAGCATAGCCAATTGTCTTATCCTTTTGTTAGCATATTTATTATTTTGTCTGTTTTATCTTTATGAACATTAAAATATTTTGAAATTGATTGAACGTGAGCATGTGTTACGTGTACCTACAGCATGTAGAATAGTCCACGGATTATATATTTGTATATATGTATGAACGTGTGTATAAAGTAATATACATTGTTTTCAAACATAATTTGTTTTCCAATGTTACGTCTCAAAATGATAAAATACAAGAGTCATGTACACTAGAGTAGGCTAATTCGATTCGAAACTCTAATTAGATATGAGAAATAAATAAATATAGCATATGTATGTGTGCTATTCAGTACAAAGTGACATATATATGTGTGATATTCAGTACAGAGTAACATATATATGTGTGATATTCAGTACAAAGTAACATATGTGTGATATTTAGTACAAAGTAGCATGTGTGATATTCAGTACAAAGTAACATGTGTTATATTCAGTACAAAGTAACATATATATGTTTGATATTCAGTACAAAGTAACATATGTGTGATATTCAGTACAAAGTAGCATGTGTGATATTCAGTACAAAGTAACATATGTGTGATATTCAGTACAAAGTAACATATTATTGAACCATTCTCGCGGGGGGCGATTAGTAAAACCGTAAGAATATTTGCAGCCAAAAGATTATGTAAAAAGACGGCAAGCGTAATAACAACATACGTTCTGCTTTTTGGCGGACTTATTAAGCGATTCTAGCCTAGGAGATATTCACAAATCTCTGTTTCGACATTATTCAGAGCGTACGCTTTATGTCTTTGATCTTTGAAATCTACATTTAGTACACGTTTATTCTTGTGCTGACACACCAACTTTCCAGTGACTGAATGAATGTTTGGAAACGGCGAAGAACATCTAATATACAATTCACATTGAGTTAACTAATATACATGTTTGTCGTGAAGTTTATACGCATGAAAAAGTCCTACTCATTTATTCTATGTAACAGTTTTTCTAGCAGTCGACATTAAGTTTTTGTCTGATCCTATGACGTAATCACATAAAGAAAATGTTCGGTTTTACTGAGGTCTAATCATCTTAAATAACACAAGAACTCTGTAAATACTGAGAAATATTTTGGCAATACAGGTTCAAATTCTGCTTCATTCTTTTAAAAAAAATTGTCAGAAGCAATTTACTAACCAGGTGAAATCTGTCGTGTTTGATTTGGTTCCGTTTGTTGAATGTAAATTCCAAATTTTAAGTTGTGTTGACGCTGGATGAAAAAAGGAATGAAAAAATGATTACCGTGCAAGAAAAGTTTATTTTATGTTACTCAACGCTAACGATTGTGTCCTGTTCCGCTGGAACGTCTGTCGTGATATGTAAGATGACTGGTATTGTGTCGTGTTCTGCTGGAACGTCTGTCGTGATATGTAAGATGACTGGTATTGTGTCCTGTTCCGCTGGAACGTCTGTCGTGATATGTAAGATGACTGGTATTGTGTCGTGTTCCGCTGGAACGTCTGTCGTGATATGTAAGATGACTGGTATTGTGTCGTGTTCCGCTGGAACGTCTGTCGTGATATGTAAGATGACTGGTATTGTGTCGTGTTCCGCTGGAACGTCTGTCGTGATATGTAAGATGACTGGTATTGTGTCGTGTTCCGCTGGAACGTCTGTCGTGATATGTAAGATGACTGGTATTGTGTCGTGTTCCGCTGGAACGTCTGTCGTGATATGTAAGATGACTGGTATTGTGTCGTGTTCCGCTGGAACGTCTGTCGTGATATGTAAGATGACTGGTATTGTGTCGTGTTCCGCTGGAACGTCTGTCGTGATATGTAAGATGACTGGTATTGTGTCGTGTTCCGCTGGAACGTCTGTCGTGATATGTAAGATGACTGGTATTGTGTCGTGTTCCGCTGGAACGTCTGTCGTGATATGTAAGATGACTGGTATTGTGTCGTGTTCCGCTGGAACGTCTGTCGTGATATGTAAGATGACTGGTATTGTGTCGTGTTCCGCTGGAACGTCTGTCGTGATATGTAAGATGACTGGTATTGTGTCGTGTTCCGCTGGAACGTCTGTCGTGATATGTAAGATGACTGGTATTGTGTCGTGTTCCGCTGGAACGTCTGTCGTGATATGTAAGATGACTGGTATTGTGTCGTGTTCCGCTGGAACGTCTGTCGTGATATGTAAGATGACTGGTATTGTGTCGTGTTCCGCTGGAACGTCTGTCGTGATATGTAAGATGACTGGTATTGTGTCGTGTTCCGCTGGAACGTCTGTCGTGATATGTAAGATGACTGGTATTGTGTCGTGTTCCGCTGGAACGTCTGTCGTGATATGTAAGATGACTGGTATTGTGTCGTGTTCCGCTGGAACGTCTGTCGTGATATGTAAGATGACTGGTATTGTGTCGTGTTCCGCTGGAACGTCTGTCGTGATATGTAAGATGACTGGTATTGTGTCGTGTTCCGCTGGAACGTCTGTCGTGATATGTAAGATGACTGGTATTGTGTCGTGTTCCGCTGGAACGTCTGTCGTGATATGTAAGATGACTGGTATTGTGTCGTGTTCCGCTGGAACGTCTGTCGTGATATGTAAGATGACTGGTATTGTGTCGTGTTCCGCTGGAACGTCTGTCGTGATATGTAAGATGACTGGTATTGTGTCGTGTTCTGCTGGAACGTCTGTCGTGATATGTAAGATGACTGGTATTGTGTCGTGTTCTGCTGGAACGTCTGTCGTGATATGCAAGATGACTGGGATTTGAGGCTACATCTGGCAGCAAGTTATCACTGAAAATAAAAGAATTCCATACTTTATCATAATGTTTTCGATACAGAACAATCATCCATTTAACAAGAAGTGAAAAGGATGACAAATCCTGTGTACCCTTTTTATGTGTATAAATCTGAGCTTCCGAGTCAGTTGAAAATAAACAAATATTGCCACACTAATAAAACAAATACAAACTTTCTCTTTAAAGACATAGCGTTTTGCATACTTACATGTTTTACAACACGTGCTGATTGTACAAAAATCCATTTGTTTTACTAATGAAGATATTTGTTTTCGTTTCTCATATGAAGAACTTTACATAGACTTAATACCTATCTACAGATGGCGTGTTTTCAGAATCAATAGACGGACGTACTAGATATTCTTTTATGTTACTTTTGTTGATAACTTGCAATACAGATTCACTTCAAATTTCATATTTAACAAGAGGCCCATCGATCCTTAATCGCTCACCTGGTTTAACATGACTACCGTTGAACAAATATGAGCACATGAATTGTCAGAAAATCAGAGGCGATGGTGTTCTGTATGAAGCCAAACAATAGCAGCACTTGTGCAGGGCTATGCTACCGTTTGTGCAGGGCTATGATACCGTTTGTGCAGGGCTATGATACCGTTTGTGCAGGGCTATGATACCGTTTGTGCAGGGCTGTGATACCGTTTGTGCAGGGCTATGATGCCGTTTGTGCCACGTCTAATCCAATCTGACATGTAGAACTGGAGAAGACGTTGCAAATGTGTCAGCCAAGAAGCCATGGTGGCAATAGTGGATTCCGAAACGAGCTTAAACTAACAAGAATTGTTCAGGACCTCGAGACAAATCAAATTTGACAAAAGAAGAAATGACGAGTAGTGGAAAAGAATTCGAAAATTTGTTGGCTTATCAAAAACCATGGCAACCATATTTGATTAAGAATGAAGCCAAAAAATAATGACACTTGTTCAGAGCCGTGATACCATTTTTTGTACCATGTCGGATCCAAATCTGACAGAAATTGAAAAGTCGAAAATGTGTCAGTAAATCAGAGGCTATAGCGGCCATATTGGATTCCGAAAAGCGCCGAAAAATAACATTTGTTCAGGACTATGAGACCGACATCAGTGCTAAATCTGATCAAAATCTGACAAGTAGAACTGGAGAAGAAGTCCTTTAATGAAAAAAATGACCGATCGACGAATGGACGGACGGACAACGGATGCCGCGCCTTGGTAATCGCTAACAAACCACACCGCACTTAAGCAATATCTTTATGCTTGAACCTTGGTGGTGCAATCCATCTCCTCGCTGCTGGGACCCTGACAAGGGGCGCCTCCGTTCCTGGGAATGGGCTGGTCACATGTCCGGGTCCTGAATCTCACCATCACGCTACCTGTAGGGATGATATTGAATCAAACCAGCAATTTGATGATACAGTTGATTCGTCTTAGTATTGACTGAAGTGACTTAAATTATTGAACATTCACATCTGGTTAAACGTTTGAATTAAAATTTGAAATAAAACTAAAAAAATGTGAAACCTTTCATCAGTTTATTACATTAATCCTGTACAATAAGATGGAAAAAGAAGAAGATTGGTTCTTGTGAATTAGAACTGATAATGCTTAAACAGCGTTATTCTCCTACGCAACACCTATATTTCTGTAATGTTTAAATATGTGTCATAGGTACTAAATCGTTGCATCCCGATGTCAACCGATGTGATTTTGCCACCTAGCCAATCAGAAACCTCGTACCTGCACAGGCCGGCACTTTACACGCGGACCATTCCGTCCAGCCGCTGTATCCTCCATTCTGTGGCATACGACTGCTGAAAGGAATCTGGCCACCTGCTCCCCAGTCCTAAAAGTGCAAATCACTCAAACATTGGAAGGTCGTACACAAATCAGAATCTATTATCATTCATTACAGGTGGCGCATTAAAGATTTTCCCTTTCTTTCGCGTTAAAATGTCAGTCACAATTGGCCATTAAAGGAGGAGCCTCTTTATCATCAACTGAGTGCAGTTATGTACCTTAATTGTAACAACGTGCGTTACATTTCAATTCCATGTAGTACTAAAAAAGAGTAAAAATAACTTAACATTATTATTATTGAAGTTGATTATCGTTTACCGTTTCAGGGCCAGAATATGATGTGTCGAATGAAAGACTTCCGTCCGCCACTGCTTTTGGAGCGTGAGTAACCTAAAATACGTAATGATAATTACAAAAAGATTATCGATACATAGCTACTGTAGTCAAGTAATAAATTACGACCTCCTTCCCATTGACAGGTAAACTGCAAACAGCATAGTATGACTGGTGGTAAAATGAAAAAATAACGTGTAAAAGTTCAGTTTGAATAATTGAAATACAAATATTTTGACACAAAAGATAATTAAAGCTTAACATATAATAATATCGTTGGTCAAATGTAAATTTCGAAATGACGAACTGACATATTGATCCAGTATATGGCCGGATTGCTACGGTACATCATATGTGATAAGCATCCTTTAAGATACATAAGTAATGCAAGTTAAGTTGATGTATGACAAGAAGTTACTTGGTAAGTGACCTTAACCAGTCTTCTTAACCAAAGTGCAGATGGGGCCTAACCTCAACCAAACTTCTTAACCTGGTCAGTAAAGCGGAAAATGTAGGTCAGAAGCAGCATCCGAAGCATCGCATGTGATAAGTATCCTTAGATACTTAAGCCATGCAAGTTTAGTTGATGTACAGCAAGTAGTTACTTGGTAAGTGACCTTAACCAAACTTCTTAACCTGGTCAGTCAAGCGGAAAATGTAGGTCAGAACCAGCATCGGAAGCTTTGCATGTGATAAGCATCCTTAGATACATAAGCCATGCAAGTTTACAAGAGAAAACTGAAGTCGGGTGCCGATGCTCTGGAAGGGGAAGTTTAAACACATCTAGCACCCATCATTACGCCGGCGATATACAGGCCGATGTTTTTCTTATTATTGTAGCCACCCTGGTTCTCGCTTTGAGGACATTTGAATGGCGGTTGTCGGAGTTAAGGAAAAAGACGATTCTGTTACACCTAGTATTATTCTCTTATGTACCTTTTCACGAGTCTCCATGCAAATATTTATTTCGCCATGGTTTTATCGATTACGGTTTTGACGACACTTGGGTGTTCTCTTGTTGATTGTTAAACTCCTGTTTCTAAAACTCGGTAAGAAAATATGGAAAGTACCAGGAAACCCGTTGATGTAGCTAGATATACGACTAACCTGAGAGGGTGGAGTGGGCGTGTCCCGCGCACTGCAGTCTCCGTCGTTCCGGTCTCCTCCAGTAACGTACACCAAGAGGGACACACACTTGTCTCCTACACAGGTAGCCGTGTCCCCGTCCTCAACGGCCTCTAACGACCGCAACATGACGTATAGCATCCTACCACAATAGGATACAAATAACAGGTTAGCATACAACTTGGTCCCACACACACACATATATAAATTATGGCAAGCCAACTTAACATTTATTCAAGGAGCAATGTCGATCCTGTATTTCATCGAATTATATAAGATTTCTTATATAGCATATGAGATATCTTATATACTATATAAGATATCTCATATAGTATATGAGATATCTTATATAGTATATGAGATATCTTATATAATATATAAGATATCTTATATACTATAAGAGATATCTTATATAGAAATTAAATAAGATGCTATATAAGATATCTTATATCGTATATAAGATATCTTATATCGTATATAAGATATCTCATATAGTATATGACATATCTTATATAGTATATGAGATATCTTATATAATATATAAGATATCTTATATACTATAAGAGATATCTTATATAGAAATTAAATAAGATGCTATATAAGATATCTTATATATTATATAAGATATCTCATATACTATATAAGATATGTCATATACTATATGAGATATCTTATATACGATATAAGATATCTTATATACGATATAAGATATCTTATATACGATATAAGATATCTTATATAGCATCTTATTTAATTTCTATATAAGATATCTCTTATAGTATATAAGATATCTTATATATTATATAAGATATCTCATATACTATATAAGATATGTCATATACTATATGAGATATCTTATATACGATATAAGATATCTTATATAGTATATAAGATATCTAATATAATTCGATGAAATACAGGATCGACATTGCTCCTTGAATAAATGTTAAGTTAGCTTGCCATAATAAATATCCAAATTTAACGTACTCCACAGCTCAAAACAAACAACCAAACAAATTGACAAATGCTTATATAATTATTGATAGAAGTCCGTGAACACCAGTCATACAGACATCACTATTCTCGTACTAACGGGGTATCATACACTCAGTCCTACAGACTTTGTTACCGGTATACCGTACCCCGTGGCTTTGTTGTGGTAGTACTTCCCGCCCTCAGTGTCCTGGTCTATCTCGTGCACGCTGTTCACCTCTGTCCATGAGTCCAGCGTGAGTGCCCGTTTAGGATAGTAAGACTTCAGCGAGAAGGTCGCATCCAGGGGCAGACACAGGCCAACGCGAACTGGGTAGTCTCTTTAAAAATAAAGAATAACAGCATTTCATCATCGGTAAACGTACAAAAAGTTCAGCTGAAACATAAAAAGGAACGGGAAGACATCATAAACTATCACGATAATATCCGGTTCGAGATGATGCTCTGGGAAGGTGTTTTCCTGACCCTTAAGTGGTACCCATCGAGATGTCTCCCTAACCCTAACCCTAACCCTAACCCCACGATGTCTGCTACCAACGATCTAAATCAAAATGAACCTATCGATTCAGACACTGAAAACTGATATAGATAGAAATTGCCAATCGGTTCAGACACTGAAAAAACTCATATTGATAGAAATTGCATTCTATGCATCATCCTGAAACCCTGTCTGAATCTGTTCAGTTACCAACTCTACCAATTATACTGTATTCCTCTGCATGGATACTGTTAAGTTACTTTTCAGTTCCGTGTACCCGGTAAGGATACTCACTTTTCAGTTCCGTGTAACCGGTAAGGATACTCACTTTTCAAGTCCCCACGCTCTGACGAGGAACTCTGCGGGCACAACATCTGGCCAGTGGAGTGAGTAGCTGAACTGCCCTCCAGTAATGAGTGAAAAGTGAACAACCTTGGTACCATCAATCTTTCGAGGACTGTCAGGAATATCGTCACGTGACACAAACGGAACACTGTTGAGGTCACCTGCTGACCGCGGAACTACCTGCATCTGTCAGAAAGTAAAGTGGTACAGTTAGTTACCAGTATCTTCATTACAGTGTCCGACAAATCATTGACTAGAAAATAATTTGGTCTATCAATGTATAGACCGAAAACTTAATTGCAGTCTTTACAGAAACCGTATAAACCTCGAACCGGGTCTTATTAAGACTGCACTTCGGATAAAGGCTTCTGCATCAATAGACCAATTTATCATCTGGTCAAATTCTTATAAGTTCATTTTAAAACCGGAAAGGACAATTTCTCTCCACAAAAGTGTCTTTTTAAAAAATGTTCAACCATACTATTTTTTGTGAATTGCGCTATGATTTTTTATGTTGATAAATCTAATCCTGTGTTTGAAATCTTCCGCGCGGTTGCAATGACGAGCCAATTTAGTCGAAACTTCCTAAGGGCTCCTTAACCCTCTCAGATAACAACACTGACAAGGCCTTACTAGTCGTCAGGAACATTTTTCATACCATCTGTTCTAAAAACGAGTAAAACGTTCCGACTCCCAATGTCAAAAGACAAGTTTCAGACGATCATTTCAGTTTGAAAGACGACTTCATTTTTGTGTGTGAAAAAGAAGTACTTTGTGTACGACACATTAAAATATGTTCACATATTATCAATCTTCCACTTGATATATTGTAAACACTTACCAATATGTTAAGATTATTTAAATTATCATTCGAAATACCTTCATGTACTTGAAGGGACATATTGCCAGGTTCCAGTTTGGTCTAAAACTACAGTCAGATGTGGTAAGAAACTGATCAGATCTGACCACAGAACTGCCAGGTACTGTCGTCACCGACCCATCAGCGTCACGGAACACTGCTTCTATGTCACCGTCAAGGTCGTCAAATCCAGGTATACTACTGTTACCGTCATACACACGGTTACCTGTTAATTCCTGTGGATACAAGACAACGAATCATAACAAATGGCACGCTACTGTAAACGTCATACACACGATTACCTGTTAATTCCTGTGGATACAAGACAACGAATCATAACAAACTGTTATGGCACGCTACTGTAAACGTCATACACACGGTTACCTGTTCCTGTAGGAGTAATGCAAGGGTATATTAAAACAGTTTCACAATACTGCAATCGTCAAACACACAGTTATCTGTTGTTTCCTGTGGATACAAGACAAGGGTATTCAAAACATTGGAACAATAATGCTGTTGATGTTTAAACACTACATGAGATCTTTTGTTGAGATAAGGCTAGGGTAACTTAAACATTGGTACATTATTTCTACCATACCATACATAGTTACCCGTTGTTTCTTGTAAGGACAAAAATACATTACAAAATTAGTACACTAATCCTACCGTCGGACACACGGGTATCAGCATAAAAAAGACATGAAAAATACAATGCTGTACGTTTCCGTTGCACGGAGGGAAATCACTGTAACATACTGCTGGATATTCATAATACAGTCAAACATTGAGTCGTATTTGACAAGAATACTAAGATATGTATATTATACGGTTTATATTCTAGTAGCATGTAATTCAGCATTTTTTTATTCGCTTCGATATAAAGTACGCTTATACTTACCTGATATGATATATGGTGATATGTTAGATTTGACCTTTGGTGACTTGTTATGACGTAGTGATACGTAAAGACTTGGTATGGGATGCAATATATAGTGGCTTGTTATGACCTTGAGTTATATTTATTTTACCTCTACTGAGTTTTCCCTGTCTAAAAACAATATGATAAAATCTCCTTTGTCCCTAGAATCATTATAAATATGTCACTCTGAGGGCCACTCCTTTCCCAAAATAGGACACTCCCTGAAAGAAAGGGGACTACTCCCTCATGGATATTTGTAGGCGGAGCTTCTAACATTTCAACCAATGACAACATTTGGTAGGCGGGGCCTTCTCCTAGACGTAGGTGACGTCACATTTCAGAACCAAACGACAACAGTGAAAATGGACACCGATGTAGGCCGTTTTGATAACCTAACTGATGAGGAATTACAGCAGATTTTGGACGCTAAACGAAACTTAAATACAAAAGTTGTTAAGACTGTAGTGAATTTACAACAAACTTATTAAACAAAACGTAATGCCGGAAACGATTAGGACCAAGCAAGCGCAGAGGAGTTGAACGTGTGTCCAAGCAAGTTTTATGCAGAACTTAAAAAAATGGATTGGACTAAATATGCTTGAAATTAAGATATCATCAACGACGATGCATACAGCAATTCCGAATGCAATATATTTTTTACATGTACATTTGTTAAATTGCCTTTATTTGTTCTGTTATAATAAAACAGTTTAAGAATGGGTAATTCAGGAAAAGCAAATTCATGGTCACCCTTGCTAAACAAATATTTCCCTCGGCAGCTTCGCCTCCTCGGGAAATATTTTTTCACCTCGGGGTACCATACATTTGCTATTTACCTCATTGTATAATACTTGACCTATAATGACATGTTATGTGATTAGTTTGACAATTGGTGGTAGTATTTGTTCTGTGTGGATAGCTTACTCCATCCTGAAATCCGAAGTGCAGGTCCTTGGCAGCACTCGAGGCAGAACTGAAGAACTTGTTGTTTCTTAGGAAACCAATCGCCCCTGCCTTCCGGTATTGGTTGGATATGAACCCGTTAAAGAAGGTACTGGATACGAAGACCGGACCATCATAGAAGTTGAATCCCTGCATCGGTTCGTTGCTGTGGAAGGTAGGTGTGCATCAGTGTGATGTAGGTAAATGTATCATTAAATTTAACAGAAAGGCAAATGCTTTAAGGCTCATGTGAAAGAATCTAGCGATCACTTTGTTCGGTTAACAACTAGCAATTATCTTGTAGCGGATACATTAGCGATCGTCTATTATAGAAAATATTTAGCGATCAACTTGTATTTTGTAAACACCTATTTTCATCTTTTATAGGAAACAATAACGATTATCTTATATCTTATGTTATAAACGACAATAATATACAATTATAAACATACAATAAACTGTACCATGGTACGTCACACACCAAGTATGATAAAACCCTGAAACTGATACTTCCTGAAAGGAAGTAGGAAATATTTCAATCAAGAAACACTTGAAAATTTAAACAGAGACAGAGGGTTGAGCAACAGACAGTCTCTATACCATGACATGATGTCATTAGGCCTTTCAGTACTTAGAAACAGAGTAAATGTTTATGATGAATGCTTACTTGATAAACACAAAGGATCGTAACTTACCCCCATTCAGGAACTGATGTCATGCTCTTCAAATACTTACAAATTCCACTGATAAGGTAGTGATCTATCGAACGAGACGAAGGACCCGTCAATACCCCTGGCTCTCATAGGGTCCCCGAGGTTGTTGGTTTGCCCAAGTATCACGCTTTTCTCTAGAAACTGTTGCTGGTACGTACCCCTGTGAAGGGAAACCAAATCACAACTAACCCAGTGGTACTGTTGCAGTTAGGGTAAGAACAAATAATTAGTCACTATGTGTTATATAATGCCCTTTAGACCACTATTAGAGATAAGTCGGTGGATTGTGTAACATCTTACCTAGCGAAGGTGATCCCTCTGGTAGCATCCGCCAAACTATAATTAGAACCAGAAGACAGGTATCACGAACACTATAGATAATAACCATCCTCCAAAGGTTTAATATCGTCTGCTGCACAACCGAGCTACTCGTTTGTAAAGGTAAAGCCAATCAATCAATCAATCAATCAAGTAAAATAAAATATAAAATAAATAAAAATAGCGTTATTGTATCTTTATAATTTAGTTAATAAAGGTGATAACTAAAAAGAACCTTTAAATTCATAGTTAATGAATATTTATGCTCTATTTGCACCTAAAACCTACTTTCAGACGAGATGGTAGATTTCGGTAGATGACGTCACCAATCCCTCGATGGTTATAATGTAGTTCCTAGTTTGGATTTAGAAAAAATACTGTTTTTATACGAAATGTATATGGACTAATAATAAATCAGTATGAGGAATACTTACGACGTTCTCAGGAAAATAAAAAGACAAAGAACCGAATAGCTATGACATTCTGTCGTACTTACGACGTTCTACGGAACACAAGATAACCACCGCGGGCCCAAACATTGTTCCTGTTTTTGTATGCTGTAAAATAAAATTGTTCCTATTTTTGTATACTGTAAGATAACATTGTTCCTGGGTTGTTTTATGCTGTAAGATAACATCGTTCTTGACTTTGTATACTGTAAGATAACATTGTTCTTGACTTTGTTTGCAGTAAGATTAATAGAATCTTTCACCCCCTTGGGGGTGAATTATTATTTTTGTCTTACCCTGTGTTTACCCTCTTATGTATTTTACATAGACGTTACACCAATGCAAGACAATGTTGATGTGATGCGGCTGAATTGTTGCCGTGACGTCATTGTATTGTTGCCGTGACGTCATTGTATTGTTGCTATGACGTCATACAATTATTGAGAACGTGCAAAGAACACATGTAGCTTGTCTCAACTCTAGGATGAGATAAGAAAATCTCACACCGGTAAAATGGTGGATATCCCTGTCCAGGGTAAGAGAAAACATCGTTTCTGTTTTTGTATGCTGTAAGAATACATTGTTCCCTGACTTTTATGTTGTAAGAATACATTGTTCCTGACTTTGTTTGTTGTACGATAACATTGTTCCTAACTTTGTAAAATGTAAGATAGCATTGTTCCTGGGGTTTTTTTTTATGTTGTAAGATAACATTATTCCTGTTTTCTAATGCTGTAAGATTTCATTGTACCTGTTTTCTAATGCTGTAAGATAACGTCCCGCAATCATTCTACGTGTATCAGCTATGTAGAATCAGTGCATCTCACTAATTATCAGACTATACACTGCCCTAATTTGAATCAAAACAACATATTACATAACATAAACAAAGTCTTCCTTTCATCACATACAAAATATCGCCTTACCGCAGATCATGTACAAAATCTTGCCTTTACTCTCTACATGTGAATTAACTCGCCTGATGTACCAAAATGATCCCGATAACTCTCATCCCAAACAATTTTTTACATCTTTACCAAATATTCCTTAATTGGTGTTCCACCAAACCGCTCCCTACTTACACGTAAGACGATCTATAATAGCGGGTTTGTCCGCCGATTTAGGATCCAAGGGGTCGACTTTAGGAGAGTACCGGTTACTGGTGATCCAGATGTCGCCTGTCGTCGGGTGTATTTGAAAGTCAATGAAGAAACCCGTCTGTAAAGGGTTTAAGGTAAATATATCGAGAAGGGTGAAAATACGAGTGGTCAGGTCATATGTTAGAAGGCCGTACAATTACACATGGTGTGCCTCAAGGATCAATTCTTGGTCCTCTTACGTTTTTAATTTTTATAAATGACTTGCCCCTACATGTTGTATCTGACACTAATATGTATGCAGACGACTCTACCGTATCTGCTGTTGATAAGTCGTTAGATAACATCAACAGTCTATTGCAATCTGATTTAGACAATGATAGTGAATGGTGTATTGAAACTAAGATGATGATAAATGTCAAGAAAACAAAATGTATGTGCATTGCCTCAAAACAAAAGCAAAAAAGAGACTGTTTAAATTTAGAATTATTTATGTGTAATGAATCCCTTAACAAAGTATGCAGTGGAAACCTACTTGGTGTGCATTTTAAAAATGGATTGACATGGGGAAGTCATGTATCTAAAATAAGGCAAAGGTTAGGGTTAGTCAGACGTATAAGCCCATATCTACCTACGGAAGGAAAGCTAAAATGTTTTAATTCTTGCGTTTTCCCACATTTAATGTATTGCAGTACGGCATGGTCAGGGTGTTCCGCAAGTTTAATGTATTGCAGTACGGCATGGTCAGGGTGCACCGCAAAGTTAATGTATTGCAGTACGGCATGGTCAGGGTGTACCGCAAGGTTAATGTATTGCAGTACGGCATGGTCAGAGTGTACCGTAAAGTTAATGTATTGCAGTACAGCATGGTCAGGGTGTACCACAAATTTTATGTATTGCAGTACGGCATGGCCAGGGTGTACCGCAAATTTAATGTAGTGCAGCACGGCATGGTCAGGGTGTACTGCAAATTTAATGTATTGCAGTACGGCATGGTCAGTATGTACCGCAAAGTTAATGTATTACAGTACGGCATGGTCAGGGTGTACCGCAAATTTTATATATTGCAGTACGCCATGGTCAGGGTGTACCGCAAATTTAATGTTTTGCAGTACGGCATGGTCAGGGTGTACGGCAAATTTTATGTATTGCAGTACGGCATGGCCAGGGTGTACCGAAAATTTAATGTAGTGCAGCACGGCATGGTCAGGGTGTGCTGCAAATTTAATGTATTGCAGTTCGGCATGGTCAGTATGTACCGCAAAGTTAATGTATTACAGTGCGGCATGGTCAGGGTGTACCGCAAATTTTATGTATTGCAATACGGCATGGTCAGGGTGTACCGCAAACTTAATGTATTGCAGTACGGCATGGTCAGGGTGTACCGCAAATTTAATGTTTTGCAGTACGGCATGGTCAGAGTGTACTGCAAATTTAATGTATTGCAGCACGGCATGGTCAGGGTGTACCGCAAATTTTATGTATTGCAGTACGGCATGGTCAGGGTGTTCCGCAAATTTTAATGTATTGCAGTACGGCATGGTCAGGGTGTACTGGAAATTCAATGTGTTGCAGTACGGCATGGTCAGGGTGTTCCGCAAATTTTATGTATGACAGTACGGCATGGTCAGGGTGTACCGCAATTTTTATGTATTGCAGTACGGCATGGTCAGGGTGTTCCGCAAATTTTATGTATTGCAGTACGGCATGGTCAGAGTGTACCGCAAATTTAATATATTGCAGTACGGCATGGTCAGGGAGTACCGCAAATTTAATGTATTGCAGTACGGCATGGTCAGGGTGTAGCGCAAATTTTATGTATTGCAGCACGGCATGGTCAGGGTGTACCGCAAATTTTATGTATTGCAGTACGCCATGGTCAGAGTGTACCGCAAATTTAATATATTGCAGTACGGCATGGTCAGGGTGTACCGCAAATTTAATGTATTGCAGTACGGCATGGTCAGAGTATACTGCAAATTTAACGTATTGCAGTACGGCATGATCAGGGTGTACCGCAAAGTTAATGTATTGCAGTACGGCATGGCCAGGGTGTACTGCAAATTTAATGTATTGCAGTACGGCATGGTCAGGGTGTTCCGCAAATTTTATGTATGGCAGTACGGCATGGTCAGGGTGTACCGCAATTTTTATGTATTGCAGTACGGCATGGTCAGGGTGTACCGCAAATTCAATATATTGCAGTACGGAATGGTCAGGGTGTACCGCAAATTTAATGTATTGCAGTACGGCATGGTCAGGGTGTTCCGCAAATTTTATGTATTGCAGTACGGCATGGTCAGGGTGTACCGCAAATGTAATGGGCAAGCTGCTAAAGACTCAGAAGCAAGCAGCTAGACTAATTTTAGATGTACCATTTGACACACCTTCTAGGCAAATGTTTGAACTCCTTAGATGGATGCCGATTGACAAATTTTATAAATATAGAAGGTTGTGCATGCTATATAAATGTCATCGCCAGGTAGTAACTGAATATTTATCAAATAATGTGTCTCTAGTGCGAGATGGTCACTGTAGGAATACAACATTTGCTATTGAAAATAATTTTAAAGTGCCAAAACATAGAACTGTTTTTTATTCCAGACACTTTCTTATTGACAGTATTAACGACTGGAAGGTTTACCCAGTGACCTAAAGAAAATAGACAATTTTACCACTTTCAAACGAAAACTTACTAAATACTGTATAGCAATGTCTTAGATTTTAGTTTGTTTCTCCATGTAACCAAAACTTGTTACTTTCTAACTAGACTTCTTATCTAAATTATATCAATATTTTAGATTATGCCATATTAGCGTATAACTATGTCAATTTTTATTTTTTGCTATATGCCATATAATTGATGAAATACCTTTGCATGAAACTTTATGCATTCTGTGATACTCTTAACTAAGATAACTGTGATATAACCTTATATATGTCGATTGCATCAATATATATGTAACTTTTAAATAGCACATGTATTTAACTAGCAAGATTACCTTGTTTATTTATATATCGATTGCGTAAATATGTTATTTTTATCTAACACATGTTTTTTACTAACTATATTTATCATCTTAAGAAAACTGTCCGGTAATCAATATTAGGTTAGCTAGGGGCTAAGTTAGAGATTGACAGACGTATGGTACAATCCTAGCATTATGAAGTTAAGATAACGTCCATTGCAGAAAGCAAACGGACAAATAGATTTTCCCGAGAAGAATTAAAACAATTCCTTTCACTGTAGTGAAGACTATATATATATATATATATATTTGTAACACTACATAACATTATTGTTTTTTGAATGTATTTTTATTTCATAACTTCAGATCTTGAGACTTACAAATTTATTGGAGTGGGCGCCGTTATTACTGCATTCTGTGATGGCGGTATAGCGTGCCTCTTGGTACTGCATGAAACCTTTGTCGGCAGAAGGTCCCGTGGGCGTGTCAGGGTAGATAAACCAGTACCCGATATCCTACAAAGGTAAGTACTCACTATATTTACTGTTAAACGGGAAACACAATTTATTAAATAAGCAAATCAACTAAAATCTGTAAACTCAAAGAGCAAGGGATGGTTGTATTTTAATACTCTGTCAAGAAATGTTACGGATCCCGATATTAAAATAATGAGGTTACCATTATTGTAGCACCCATCATACAGGTTACAAAGCACGCAGACTAAAAATGGAACTAGAGTAGAATGACAAAAGGGGAAAGCAACAATAAGACGGAGAAGAATCCATGTACTCCGTAAGCGGTCCCTAAACCACGGCGTCTGTAAACTCAACAACTTATGTGACGTCACCTCACTTCCAGCGGCGACGTTGTTCCGAAGGATCGTGTTTGGGTTGGTGATCCAAAACGTCGTCGGGCGGCTGCAAAATAATACAGAAGGTGTTAAGGTAACTGTGTGCATGATACACCTATATTATTACCAAGGCCTACATCATAGACAACGGCTTCTTACTCTGACAATACTTACATATAAAGACTGTGCCTGTTTACATGGACTTCATTTACATATTGTAGAATGTTTTTAAAATGACGACACCTAATAGACCACACCAACATTTATTGCTTTCATCTATAAACCACGCCTTCTTATATCGATAGAATATATAGGAATATGACGGCCATCAATTACACCACGGCTGTTTAAAATGACGACAGTTATATATTATATATAGACCACGCCTCTACCTACATTGACGACAAGTAAGACTGAGCAGCGCTTTCTATAACAACACCTATACCGATCACGCCTTCCTGAGAGAACCTATACATTGATATTATCTACAGCACGGAAGCTACTTACTATATAGATTACGATAATTCATGATGGAAAAATATCATACTTTCAGATATTGACGATTCTGTCAAATCAAAAACATGCATGTCTTAGTGCTGCCATATGACCTCTAAATACCGCGCTCACCTGTCTGAGGATATGAGGGTGGCCTTTCTGGTACTGGCTCCAAGGTTTCCGTCAAGAACTGTTCTCCTTTCACCCCCGTCCTCAAGGAAGTAACAATGACCAAGAGACTCGTAGCCCACATTGTCCATTACCTACAAACCAATCGAAATAGTAAATACTTATAATGTCACAACATGTTACATCTCCAGCCACAATCCTTGACAGTATGTCCTTCCTCTTGTTGCGGTTTGGTATATAAAAAATGCACGGTGACCAATTTTGTTCTCAGTAATATAACGTGCCAATATGTAGACCAAATAATTTACTGGCTTTATACCCCACATGTGAAAAGGTTAGCGTAATCACTAGGTAATGACCGGTTGTTAGCGTTATTACTAGGTAATGACCGGTTGTTAGTGTAATCACTAAGTAATGACCGGTTGTTAGCGTTATCACTAGGTAATGACCGGTTGTTAGCGTTATCACTAGGTAATGACCGGTTGTTAACGTTATCACTAAGTAATGACCGGTTGTTAGCGTTATCACTAAGTAATGACCGGTTGTTAGCGTTATCACTAGGTAACGACCGGTTGTTAACGTTATCACCCAGCCATCCCCGGTTGTTAGCGTTATCACTAGATAATGACCGGTTGTTAGCGTTAACACTAGGTAATGACCGGTTGTTGGCGTTATCATTAGGTAATGACCGGTTGTTATCGTTATCACTAAGTAATGAGCGCTTGTTAGCGTTTTCACTAAGTAAAGACCGGTTGTTAGCGTTATTACTAGGTAATGACCGGTTGTTGGCGTTATCACTAGGTAATGACCCGTTGTTGGCGTTATCACTAGGTAATGAGCGCTTGTTAGCGTTTTCACTAAGTAAAGACCGGTTGTTAGCGTTATCGCTAGGTAATGACCGGTTGTTGGCGTTATCATTAGGTAATGACCGGTTGTTGGCGTTATCATTAGGTAATGACCGGTTGTTGGCGTTATCACTAGGTAACGACCGGTTGTTAACGTTATCACCCAGCCATCCCCGGTTGTTAGCGTTATCCCTAGGTCATGACCGGTTGTTAGCGTTATTACTAGGTAATGACTGGTTGTTAGCGTTATTACTAGGTAATGACTGGTTGTTAGCGTTATTACTAGGTAATGACCGGTTGCTAGCGTTATCACTAAATAATGACCGGTTGTTAGCGTTATCACTAAGTAATGACCGGTTGTACATGCCATGTATAAAACATTTAGTGATGAATTGTCGCGTATCGGAATGTGAAATTGTCTGTGAAAGAAAGGGGAAAACGCTGATATCTTTAAACGAAACTTTCCCTGTCAAATGGAAGAAGACGTAATGTGCATATATACCAGATAATATCCGGGGGGAAATGGAAAAGAAAGGCATCAACCAAGCGCGATTATACGAACCGATGTAAGCACATCCACGCATATTTATAACTTTTGCTGTCTCATTGGAAGAAAAACCGATAAAACCCTAAAAACTTGAGATACACAAACTGTCAGTTTGAAATAATTTGAATAAAAATGCCCCTTTGAAAGCCAAGCTCATATAGATATTCTTACTTGTACAATTAGTTAATGTATTATATATATATCCACAGATTTGTCATAGTGACATCAATATACCTACCGTAAGTCCGTGTGTACCGTGCACAGTGACACATCTGGCGAAGGAAGAATGGATGGAGTTTTCACGCAGGTAAGGTGGGTTTGGGTACTCTGCGCCATCCACGTCATAGCACATGTGGAAATGGAGGGGGTAGTGACCTGCAAAGTACAGGGATTCTTATAAAATAGAGAAAGTAGAATCTGCCAATTTATCGCACCCTCAAAACATTAACCTTAAATCTAAATTAGGTTTTTCAAGTATCAGATGTCAATTAATATCTTAATTATGTTTGTCTATTAATCGAGGTCATATTTTGGCCTGACAAATTATCCAAACCGACCCAAACAAGTACTTAATTAAGCCTGTGATCTTGTCGAATGCTTACTAAGGTCTGTCTGCTTGTTTAGGGCTTACCTAGGCATGTCTACTTATATAAACTGAATTTATTTTACAATAATTATGAAATAAGTTATTTCAAATTAAATTAATCACTCTTGTTGGCACGGGTGTTAGCGCGCGGGGGTCTTAATTTGGGAGGAAACCAGAGTACCTAGAGAAAAACCAAGTGGTCGGCAGGTGTCCCAACATCTTTACACGTCCGATCGGGGAATCTACTTGCTCAATGTTTACCTGGGAGTGCCAGTGTGTCTGTGATTTCTAGTTCTACCATATAGTGACCACCTTCAACTAATTGAAGATTTTGTCACGAAGTTGGGTTTATGCAGCACAAATGACAGACTATATATATTACATAATAATTAATAATTAATCACTTAGTTAAAGTTAAGAGAAGGAAAATTTAGTTTGAGGAGAGTCCGAGATAGAGGTCCGAGCAAGCCAGTGATTGGGCAGCCCCCACCGACAAAGCTTGTTCGGAAAAGGGGGAAAAGAACGGAAGTGGTAAATTATTATGTAAAGTCTGTTGAAGTAACTAATTACTCTGCATCTTCAATTTTATAGTTGTGCCTGGAAAGAGATGTTTTGAAAGAGTTGAAAGTGGGTGCATTAACGAAGTCCGATGGTAATTTGTTCCAGTCTAGTATGGTACGAGGAAAAAATGATTGTTGTCTAGTTAGTGTTTTCGAGTATTGCTGTTGGTATTGGACCTGGTGGGAATTTCTAGGAACTCTTCTGGCTCGGTGCATTCTGTCAGTCGTGGATATGGCCACCGTGTCCTGATGTATTTTATGGAACATCTTTCCTACGATCTGACCGGCTGCCAGCCAAAAGTACCAATCATATCTGTTACACTAGAGGTATTCCGAAAGCGATTTGACACATAACGGACTCCTCTCCTCTGGACCATTTCTATTTTGTTGATATTATTTTTTGTGTATGGATTCCAAACAGAGCAAGCATATTCTAATGAGGGTCTTACCAAGGATTTGTAAGCCTGTTCTTTAAATGTTGTTGAGCTAATTTTTAGGTTTCTTCTGAGAAATCCTGGAGTAGAATTTGCCTTGTTGCAAATCTGATCTACATGAGAGTCCCATTTCAAATCTGATCTGAGGTTTACACCTAGGTATTTCACAGAATTAACATGTTTTAATATTTGGCCATGAAGACAATAATTCAAAATGTCAGGCGATTTTTTTCTTAGAAATTGTGAGAGCATAACACTTATATGGGTGGAAAGCCATTAACCATTGTTTTCTCCCAAAGGGCTAGTTTGTCCAGGTCAGACTGTAGAGTCCTTGCATCTTTCTCTGACGTAATTGTCAGACATCCGCAAACAGTCTTACCGTGGAGTTCAAGCCAATTGGCATGTCATTAATATAAAATAGGAACAGACTAGGCCCCAGTACAGATCCCTGGGGGACGCCGGATAAAACTGGTACATACTCAGATTTGACGCCTTCATTAAGTACTGATTGGGTTCTATTATTTAAAAAGTTTGAGATCCAGGAAGTAGTTTTATCATCTATACCAAAATGACAGAGTTTGTTGGTAAGAAGAGAGTGGCTGACCTTATCAAATGCTTTGGAGAAATCCATAACCAATATATCCGATTGTTTTGAGTTGTCAAGAGTTTTGGTAATATCATCAGCAAATCCTAAAAGTTGTGTTTCATAGGATCTGAATTTTCGAAAACCATGTTGGCGAGGATACAGAATATTGTGAGATAGGTCTGTAATTTACAGGATCATATTTTTGGCTTTTTTTTAATATTGGAGCAATATGGGCGGTTTTCCAATANTCTGATCTGGGATTCATATAATTTTCTTTAGAAAAGATGTCAGGAGATATGTTTTTGGATGTAGAGAAAACTGATTCGAATTGCTTATTGAGTAGGTTTGCTTTTGAATAGGAATCTGAAATGGGGGATACCTGTGAAGTCTGTTTTCTTGTGTTTTATGTAGGTCTAATTTTTTTTCATGCATGTGAAAGTTCCATTGACCGAAGTCTCATCTGGAGTAACTATGATTTCTGTATATTTCCAATACTCCTGCCGAATATATTTTTGGATGGAATGTTTCAGTTCTTTATATTTCTTTGTAAGATCTTTATCACCAGACTTTCTTGATTTTTAAAAATAATCTGTTGCGTTTACTAATCAAATGTTTAATTTCATGAGATATCCAGGGTTGGCTTTCTTTTGGTTTTGTTATTTTGTGTGGTATATGTATATTCACCAAAGAGTTCAAAAATGACTCACCAGTCACCAGTCACACCAGATGGTATTAGTATCAGAAATATGCTCCTTGTTAGAAAATTGAGGCTTACGATAAAAAAAAATCTAACTCATTCTTCATAGATTCCCAGTTAGCTTTTTTCGTATAATGGAATTTGCCTTGGTTTTTGTTTTTGCTTTAAAGTAGAAGGTAGGAATTCGACAAACACATTGTCATGATCTGAAATGCCAGGCATAACTTCAATACGGGGGACTAAGCTCGGATGGTTGGTGATGATACGGTCCAAGATGTTATTGTTTCGTGTGGGCTTTTCTACCAGTTATGTTAGTCCTGTATCGTCAAGGGAGGTGCCAAAATTATAATGAATATTTGGGTGGAGAGTATTGGGTTTTAGAATTCTATGTTCCCAATCCCAACCTGGGAGATTGAAATCTCCTCCAATGAGTAGACTTGCATTGCGAATAGGACTTGCCTTCCTAACAGATGTGTCAAAGCTCATCAAATTTGAACTGTCTGCTGTTTTAGGGTTATAAAATGAACATAAATACAGGGTTTTACAACCTATCATTTCTATTATAGCCCATACAATTTCACACTCATCTGGTGGTAAAAGGTCTTGTACTTCAGAAGAAACAAAATCTTTCTTTATTACTATAAGCACCCCACCACCTGTTTTTTCACAAACTCTGTCCTTTCTGTATATGTTGAACCCATCCAGAAAAACTTCAATGTCTTTACTATTTGGTTTTAACCATGTTTCAGTTCCAAGGATGATATCGGGCTTGACACTGTCAATAACATGATGAATAAGATGTTGCTTTGCTCGAGTTGATTGGAAGTTTACATTCAAAATACGTAGTGGCTTACGAGAAGATTTTTTAGAAAATTCTGTTTTCCTGACTGGAGTAGATGAGTGCCCTGGATTAAATACACTAAAAGAGGTCTTTGGACTCATCTGGCTATCAAAACTCTTGACAGAATCTAGAAATAAACTTTCAAAAGGATTTGGAGTACAGATACTGTGCAGATCAAATTAGAGAGTGGAATAATTTGGGTTATCACAGATAATACAGTGCCAGCTAACCATACAATCGTTCAATTCCTCGTATGACTTTGACAGTCTACATGAAACCACTGGTCACATGTTTCACAGACAATACCCTTATGTTCCCAGGTAACGGTCTTATCACAGGTACCACAAAGATATTTAGTGCTATCGTTGCTAGGTCCTGGGTTGGATTGAATGTCATTAGCTCTTAAAATGACGAAGACCAGCCTATATAATAACACCTTTTTTGGGCTTGATATCTTGGTGTTTGATAAAGAACTGTTTCTTAACGAACGAGATCAACATATGTTGTATTGCTATGGGGAACACATCAACATTGGTTGTTAAATTCGACTGACATATATGGATGATCCAGTTAGATATTAACACACACAAATCAGAGGCATTGGTAGGTAGTATCACCAGGGGAGGGATGTGGGCTATGGCAGTCTGCACGTGCGAGCTTGATACAATATGGTTTTCTTTGTCCATAGCAGATACTAACACTGAGTTTGATTTGAATTTCGTAACATGAAGTGGTTTTGGTCCAAATTGAGTACATATAACGATGATCATGAAAAATAGGTTTCTCAGAATCGCCATGTTTACTTATTGGTGTTCACTTACCGATGTGAAAGAGAGGGGTGAGACCGGTGAACACAATACAGGACGACAAAAATTGTTACTTACAAATGGAGATTATATCTTCGTCTCTAGTACGACTCCAGAGCACAGAATGAAACGCACAAATGGGCAATTGTTAGTTGATGATATATGATGGGATGAAAAATGGACTCGATTGTTTACACCGGAAGTGCACACCAACTGACAGAATGGTGGGAATTTGAAGTTGGCCTACTGAATTAAATATTATTCAGAATTCAAAGATTCAGAGGATATGAATACTTCACAAATTTGATGATAAAGGTAGAGATGATAAATAATAAGTACAAGTTATAATTTTGTACAAAAAAGGTGTTTTTAACGCTCAAACCATGCAATATTTCAGTAAGAAGCCGGAGCTCCCGAGAAAGACGTCCTGCCGCTTGCGCATGCGCAACCCAGAATCAATGATTTACTTCCGTTTCTCTACCAAGACTAACTTGCCTTATACTTACCCAGGTTTGCCGACTTATTCAGACTTACCTAGAGATATTTGCTTGTGTTAAACATACCAAAGCATATCTTGCTTAGGAATGAATGATCGTGTAAGGTTATTCTTAACCTGTGGGTGTCAGGATTTGCCAAGGAATGGCTGCTCATATAACGTTAACCTAGGCCTCTGGGTTATAAGACCTACCTAAGTCTGTCTGCTTGCCCATATGGTAAAGTTCTACTCCCTCGATATGTACATCCTTGAAACCTTTGATTACCTGAAATAATAAAATTGTTTTCAAAACATTGGCTATATGTTTGGGTGTTGAGTTAGTGTTTGTTGATTATACTTGAGTGTATGTTGAGGGGTATCAATATTCCGTGAGTTTCGCTCACTTAAGTTACGACAAAATCGAAGGCAACCCTATTAGTTATTTTAATTTTGATTAGTTTCCAGTAGAAAAAAAACACGACTTATCGCTAGACTGATGTCTGTCTTTTGAAGATAACAGATTACAGACTAGTCTACTTGTATTTTTCACATGGAGGCACGTAAAGAGCCTTCGATTTTGTCATAATGTCAAGACATATCCCAGGGTGCAGAGAACCTCATTGATCGTAACAACTGCCATTCCGAGGTAGGTTGAGGGATGGGTTGAACCTACACTACTGTGAATATTTGTGCTCAGGTGTGGTTGTATATAGCCTCTGAGTAGGTTAACAGACATGGATAGTGCCTTTATTTTGGTGTATGTTTAAAGAGTTTGTACCTCCAACAATAGGTACAATGCGTATGTACATACATCGAGTTTCGGGTTTTGTCTGCGATATATGAACACATCTTACCTTCACGTGGCCACCAAACGTATCGTATTTGTATGTATCGCAGTTCTCATTCTCCTTAGGGCAGAAACTGTCCATAGCGCCTTCTATGAGTATATTTCGGGATAGCAGCGCCACCTCTCCTCTCATGTCCACATTGAAATCAATATCACCATAATGCATGTACCTAGGTAGTACTAAAATAAAAAGACAAAATAAGTGTTGGGTACCAAGATCGCCCGTCCATTACTGTCGTATAATTATAAATGCATGCCATGGTATGTTTATTGATCACATCAGAAATAAGGTAATACTTGGTAATGATTTTTATATTACAAAAATATTTCCTTACGGGCAACTTTTACTTGTGTAGCCGCACAATCCCCACAGCTTACAACTGTTGCTATCTCAGATTTGTCTAAACTAAAATCCGTCGACGTCAGCAAGATTGTGTCACCTGAAATGATACACAGAGAATATTCAATAGTTTATGTTATTAACTTATAAATGAAAATACACATGTAACCAATACCAGTGAAATAATCCTGATACTTAACGATAAGACATGGACAAAACTCCAAGCTCCGTGTCTCAATCAAGTACTGCCATCTATGACCTGCGGATGATGACGTTACAATACAGAAAACGCTAGTGATCGAGAACTATCGCCTTAATTACATCCTGCGTTTGATAGAAACGGTAAAAATACTCATGCCCTGATGTAGAAACAACAAATAAGCATACAAACCTTCCTTCCAAGATGTGACGTCATCAACAACCTCTAGAACATGGAATGCTGATGTTTCCTTTACTACCCGGAAGTCGATGGCGTGTGATATGCGACTTCCGGTATTGGTACAACTCTCCGCCACCATGATAAGATCGTTGACTTTCAGACTAGCCTCAGCTTTCTGGTAGTGGTATTCCACAGGGGTCAGCGTCTCTACTGTTGAACTTGGGTCACCTAGCAACACGGCAAAACCATGATTAAATCTCGCAAATACACATTATAGAAATTCATGGACATGGTAAAGGGAACAGTCCCGCGACATTTTCTCACCTGTATCTGTAGTTTAATGAGATTCTTGTTCGTTGGCTGTCACATCATTATATTTACCTTTAATAAAGGCCATGGCGAAGGCGTCGTACATGCCTACTTTTCTGATCTGACCTTGACCACTGGAAATTCCTGCTGCCGTTTCAATGGCGTCATATACAGATGCCAGGTCGTCTACCTGGGTGTCTGATACCAATGTGTGCTGAACTGCTAACAGGATCACCTTGCCCGCCGGAATACCTGTGGAAAAAATAGTGGAGGTCATTAACAAATGCCAGCATTACTAACTCGTGTACAACAACAGGGGTTGCTGTCAGTAAACCATGTAACTTAGTTTTGGCAATGGAATACTAATTATCATGTAAACAGAAAGGGACCATATTAAGGTAGGAACTGAACGACAATGGTAGTTAGAGGATACCAAGTGAATTTGACTATGGAATGGCTACGGCTCAAGAAACATCCTTGCTGTATTAGCTTCGGCAAATCTTACAAGTGAACGACGAGGAAGTCCTTTGGGGGAAGTCTTGCAACAAGTGAACGTAAGGGCATGCTTACATGGCAAACATTGTAGTGGAATCTAACATTACGTAAACAGTATTTGTCTTTAGCAGCCAGTGGGAGAGAGTTTTACAACATATCGGTATGCTTACTTGGTAGCCACTTGAGGAGGTACTGGATTCCCGCCAGTACATCTGCCTGGTTCGGCCCGGTGGTAGTAAAAACAGCAGTCTTGTAGTGGCTACCATCGGTATTGAAGACAATCATCCCTAAACCTTTTCTCTGTCTACTGTTTGGCTGTAGAGTAAGTAGATATCAGAGTAAAGGTTGGAATAAAATAGAGAAAGTACCACGTTATCAACCCACTGACAATCTAACGTCGATAAAAAAGGACAGAAGATCAACCCACTGACAATATAACGTCGATACAAAAGGACAGAGGATCAACCCACTGACAATCTAACGTCGATACAATAGGACAGAGGATCAACCAACTGACAATCTAACGTCGATACAAAAGGACAGAGGATCAACCCAGTAACAATCTAACGTCGATACAAAAGGACAGAGAATCAACCCACTGACAATCTAACGTCGATACAAAAGGACAGAGGATCAACCCAGTGACAA